ACAAAACAACAGGGCTGCCTCATCAAAGTTCCAATACAACCATAGGCAGAGTTATGGTGCTAAGCCTAGGTACCAACCATATAACCAAAACAAGGTTAAGCCTGTGGGAAATCCCAGGCGTCGTCTTTGACGATCCGTCTGTTTTTGTTCTTCAACAACTCGGCTCTAGTCAGCCTGAGTTTTCTGAACCAGTTGATTGTTTTTTGTTTAAAGATAGACTTAGACCATTTGCATGGTCTTGGGCCGCAATAACAACTGATAGCTGGGTCCTCCAAATTGTTGAGAATGGTTATTCACTGGAATTTACGTCTCGTCCCCCGTTGGGACAATTAAAAGTTACTCCCGAATCCCCAGCATTGCTGGAAGAGATTGAGAAATTATTGAGTAAAGGTGCGATTTCGCGCATCCATCCTTCAATGTTTAGCAGATGTTTCTTTTCTCGTTATTTCTTAGTCACCAAAAAAGGTGGAGGCTTGTGTCCTATCTTAGATTTAAGAGGAGTGAACATGTATATTAATTCGAGAAAGTTTCGTAGGGTTTCTCTCTCTATGATCCTTCCTCTTCTGAATAAAGATGACTGGTTTGCATCTATTGATTTGAAGGATGCATACTTTCATATTTCTATAGCTGAGCACCACAGAAAATATCTCGCTTTCATAGTTGGAGACAGGGCCTTCAATTTTAACGTTTTACCATTTGGCCTTACTACAGCCCCTAGAGTCTTCACAAAGTGCATGGCGGTGGTCGCTGCTCACCTTAGAACCAAGGGCGTTACGGTGTACCCGTACATAGATGATTGGCTGTTAGTAGCGAACTCATGTGACCGCCTGCGTGTGCATGTTGATTTAACGCTCTCCCTTCTCCAGTCCATAGGTCTCGTGGTGAACAGAGAGAAGTCCCATCTAATCCCTGCCCGCAGAATTCAGTTTATTGGAGCTGTCTTGGACTCAACTTACCAGAAGGCATTTCTACCAGAGGACCGTTTCACATCACTCAAGTCCCTGGTTACGCAAATTCTATGTTCAGGGGAAGTGTCAGCAAAGACTATTCAAGTGCTACTAGGGCATATGGCCTCTACAACAGCAGTCACGCCATATGCCCGGTTGCGCTTCAGACCCATCCAGAACTGGCTTCTGTCAGTATTCCGTCCTGGCCTAGACAACCCCCATGTGCGGTTTCGCATGCCAGAAGACGTGCGGAATTCCCTCTTGTGGTGGACGGAACCGGCCAATGTAACTGTTGGTTTGCCCTTTCAAATTCCCGAACCGTCAAGTGTTGTCACGACAGATTCGTCTCTGAGAGGATGGGGAGCACATTACGGGGGTCTGACTGCCCAGGGTCTTTGGACTCCAGAGGAAACCACGTCACATATAAACGTATTAGAACTACTCGCAGTAGAAAAGGCACTAAAATCTTTCGAGGTAGACTTGCTAGGCGAGATAGTGCAGGTGGTGACAGACAATACAACGACAATGTTCTATATAAACAAGCAAGGTGGAACACATTCCCAGACTCTGTCGAGACTAGCAATGCGCATCTGGGAGTGGTGCATAGCGAGAGGGATCCATCTGATGGCCGTTCACCTCCCAGGAGAAGAGAATGTTTTGGCGGACAAGCTAAGCAGGGCACCCATGTCGAGCCACGAGTGGTCTCTCAATCAAGGGGCACTCAATACGATCTTCGGGATCTGGGGGGTTCCGAAAATAGATTTGTTCGCGTCGAAGGAGAACGCGAAATGTCCCCTTTACTGTGCACGCAGGAGGGCAGATCTAGCGCAGGGCTGCTTGGGGGATGCGTTCCTTCTCAAGTGGACAGGAGATCTCCTTTACGCGTTTCCTCCGTTCCCACTACTGGCGAAGGTCCTATCAAAGTTAAAGAGAGACAAGGGGAATTGCATTCTAGTGTCACCATGGTGGCCACGTCAACCGTGGTTCTCAGTTCTTCTAGAGATATCCAAAGGGGGGTACAGGCGTCTGCCGACCAGGACAGACCTTTTGACATCGCAAGACGGAAGGGTGTCTTACCCGGACGTCCACGCGTTGAGACTTGCCGCTTGGAGGATCACCCCAGACCATTAGGTCCTGCTTTAGATTTGTCTAGTCCAGTAAGAGCTATCTTAGATGCAGCGCAGAAGCCATCTACTAAGCGTTCTTATGTGTACAAGTGGGCACGTTACTCCAAATTTATGTTAGGTAGAGGCTGTGACCCTGTTAGAGCGCCAATTTCTGCAGTTTTAGACTTTTTAGTTTCGTTATCTGACTCGGGTTTGTCTATTTCATCCTTGAAATGTTACCTAGCGGCCATCTCATGGTATAGAAGGAAAGAGGGAATGCCCTCCCTTTTTGCGGATTACTTAGTTAAACTTTTCCTCAAGGGTTACGGGAATGTTAAACCAGCAGTAGCCCCTGTTATCCCCTCATGGAGTTTGGAGGTAGTGCTTTCATCTCTTCAAAGTGCGCCGTACGAGCCTATGGCCACGTGCGATATTTCACATCTTTCCTGGAAAACTTCTTTTTTGGTGGCGATAACATCAGCTCGACGCGTTAGTGAGCTCTGCGCACTTAGATCAGATGAACCATACCTCCGGTTCCACAAAGATAAGGTAGTGCTCCGCACAGACATTGCCTTTCTTCCCAAGGTGACATCTCATTTTCACATGTCACAGGAGATTATTTTGCCATCCCTTTTCCAAAACCCAGTCTCCCCTCTGGAGAGTAGTCTCCACTTGCTTGATGTCCGCAGGGCGTTGGCGTTCTACCTTAGTAGAACGAAAGACATAAGAAAAACGCCTAGGTTGTTTGTTAAGTACAGGAAGGACTCTTGCGGTTCTCCGGTGTCATCGCAGCGTCTGTCGTCGTGGATAGTCTCCACGATCAAGTTGGCTTACCAGAAGTCTGGACGTGAGATTCCTTCTGCCGTGAAGGGACATTCCACGAGGGCAGTGTCTACTACGGCGGCGTTTTGGAAGGGTGTGCCCTTGGACGTCATTTGTCGGGCTGCCACCTGGTCGACGCCATTGACATTTGTGTCCCATTATAAGCTTGATTTGATGGCAAAGAAGGATGCAGCGTTTGGTCGAGCAGTGCTTTTTTCTGCAGTGGCATGACTCCCGCCATCCAAGGTGGGTAGCTTGCTAGTCTTTTACCATTAGTGCGCATTCACAGCACAGACACGTAGGGAAAATGAGAGGTTGCTTACCTGTAACCGTAGTTTCCCTAGTGTTGTGCTGTGAATTCGCACGGCCCCGCCCATCCTCCCCGCAATTTGTCATGCCTCCTCCTTCTGGCTGCTTTGGCGGCGGAAGAGATCTGGAGGCGGTTGGCCAGCCGCGGGCTATTTATGCTATCTTGGGGAGTGTGCGCGGGGCCAACCGCTTTTCTTTTGAATTTTAACTGAAGATTCCGGAATGAGGCTGCGCATGCGCAGAGAGAGTACCATTAGTGCGAATTCACAGCACAACACTAGGGAAACTACGGTTACAGGTAAGCAACCTCTCATTTCTTTACACGTCCACCACATATGATAAAAAGTACCTGTTTGATGGCAACCCTTCCAACATTTATCAGAAGTATTCTTGTTCATTAAAGATAGTTTCTTAGGAGTGGTGTACCATCTGTGGAACATTTTTATCCAGTTTTGTTTTAAATCTGTTGCATATACATATTTCAATGTTTTGTTCCACATCTGCTCCCACTCCCTAAATTGAATAGGTCTTCTTATATTTTCGGCCCATTTTATCATACATGTTTTCACTTGCTCGCACTCCGTTAGCCAGGTTAATAATGTATTATAAATAACTGAAATTACTTTCTTATTCGTCTTTAATATTTTGTCCCAAATTGACTCTTCCCAGGCGAAGCCTATCTTATTATCTTGCTTGATATATTCTTTCATTTGCAGGTAGTGTAACCACGTCAAGTTACCATTTATTTCTTTCATTTGCTGAAAGGATTTAATTTCCATAGTATTCCTCACTAATATGTCTCTATATGTTGGCCACGCTCTCCAACCTAGTAATCTTCTTTGATGCGCCTCCATCGGTGAAACCCATAGAGGCGTTTTAGTATAAAAATGATTCTTGTATTTCATCCAAACTCTTAATAATGATGCTCTTACAAAATGGTTTCCATTTTTTTTTCCTTTTTTTTCTCGGTCGTACCACGTGTAGGCATGCCAGCCTACATGTAGATCATGTCCTTCTAAGTTCAAACCTTTTCCATTTTCTAGTGTCATCCAGTCTCTTATCCACAAAAGGGCACTAGCCTCATGATATGTTTTCAGAGGAATCCCAGTCCCCCTCGCGTTTTTTTTTATCAATATACCCATAATAAAAAATCAAACAGAATTTATTAAATGGAAGAAAGAATTATTGAAATTTGTGTGGAATGGGAAAAGACCGGGATGCAACTACAGTTAAAGTGACGTTGTCATTGTTATGTTGACAGTGCAGGTTCTCAACTACCTTGTTTTAAAACAACTTTTAAATGTGTTCTTTACCAAAAGCTTTCCTCTTTTTGTTTTGCTTGTAACAAATTATTATCCTATGTTTTCATTATTTGGGACCACTGTGAGAGAACTGAGATGTGATAACACTGAGGTCCTCTGGGGGGAGGGTCTACTCCAACTAGCCAGAACCTGACTGGCAGCCATCACCCAGAGGGCCTTTTCATGAGGTGCCCCAAAAAGACTGGAATGACCTGCCAGAAGCGCATTGACCGCTAAATCAGCTGCTGTCTTCCGCCAGGCTTTCCCAGTCAATTTTAACTTGCAAATTTTAATTTGTTTCACGAATGGAATTTAATTCTGTGTATCTTGTTATATATATATTAAGTCTTTTGTCTCTTATTTTAACAATGTTGTACCCTGCCTCATGCCAGAGGAAGGGGCAGGTAATAAATTATCATTATGATTATACCCAGCACAAGCAAGTGAATCTAACCAGCTCCCAAAACCTGTATGGAGTTCTAATCTTGATTTTATTTTCTCCTTTTTTCCCCTAGCCTCTGAAAACCCTCTCCCGGGAGCGACCACTCCCAAATATCTTCAATCTCTACACAGTTCTAACTGTGTTGTTGCAGTTCATGGTGCACTTTGTCAGCCTGGTTTATCTCTATCGAGGTGCGCAGGCCCGTAGTGATCCCAAGTGAGTGCTACTTGGATTTAAGTATTAAGTATTTAAGTATTAAATACTTTGATTGGGAAAGAATACTCCCCCCAGAGAATTATTAACTGCAGGTACAATTTACTGCATGTACTGTATTAACTGTAAACTGGAGATCATGTATTAACAGTAAATTAGAAATGTGAGCAAATTGTATACAAAGCAATCCAGAAGAAAGCATGGAAATTGAAAACTTTAAACTGAGAATCTCTGTGTTATTGATTACAGTGCCTTCAATATGTCGTATTTTATTGTGAATATCTTGTCTTTTAATGAGAAATTCTCAAGGACCTTTTCCTTGTTTGCTTTAAGGAAAGATGACTTCGTAGACCTCTACAAGGAATTTGAACCCAGTTTAGTGAATAGCACTGTTTACATCATGTCCATGGCAATGCAGATGGCCACTTTTGCCATAAATTATAAGGTGAGGAGTGCTTGACTTCAGTAACTGTTATGGTGTGAATATACGTTCTACTTCAGTTGATACCAGTGAAGCCTGATGCTATTTCTTTGGCTGCAAGAGACATTAGCCAAGAACCAGATGCGAACTTGGTTACCCAGCACCTACAGAATTAGGAGTTTCCCTGCGTGGTCTGCTGTGAATACACACATATGGTATTATCTCCTGTGCACGTGCAGCACAGCTTCGGAATCTTCTGTTAAATTCAAAAGAAATGGCGGTTGGCCCCTCGAGCACATATATAGCCCGTGGGCTGGCTAACCGCCTCAGTTCTCTTCATCCGCGTTAACAGCGAGCTCAAAATCTTCTGTTGAGAACATTTTGGATCAAAATCTATGATCTGACAGTTTAAACTACTTTAATTTAGTCTATTATTGAAGTGCAGGCTTTTAATCTGAACTATGTCTCAAACGAAAGGCTTTAAGCATTGTTCCGCTTGCCAAGGGAACTTCCCTGATAACGACGCACACTCTTTGTGCATTGCATGTTTTGGGGAAGGGCATCTAACGCAAGCCTGTGCTATTTGCCAATCCTTTACCCCCCAAATGAGAAAGAATAGAGGAATCCGCCTTAAGGCGGCATTGTATGAACGGGCGCTCCTGCCTCTGGTTCCGAGAGCACAAAATGGCGACCAAAACCCAACCAAAAATGTTGACTTACCTGTCTCTAAGGCAGGGAAGAAGACAAAGAAAACTAAAAATGTAGAGAAGACCTCGGGCCCTATTAAACAGCCCAAGAGGGCCATGCTGGTTATGGAACTAAATCAAGTTCAGGATTCCCTTGTTCTTATCAGCCACCAATTAACCATCAGCCAGTTGGGGGTGACTTGTAGTTCAATGAGATAGTATTTTTCTATCATAAACATGAACAGTATATATCCTTGCATAACAGGTGGTTAACCCAGAATATGTCACCAATATATTTTGATATTCCTGCAATTGAAACTTATTCCTACTGTATTTGAAACTTTTGGTTTTGCAATCTTTCCAATCAACGTTTGTTATTCCAGGGCCACCCGTTTATGGAAAGTTTGCGGGAAAACAAACCTCTCCTGTGGAGCATCATTCTTTCAGGACTGGCAATTGTAGCCCTCCTGACTGGCTCATCTCCAGAGTTCAATGAACAGTTTGGGTTGGTAGACATCCCAACAGAGGTAAGCAGGCAATCATTTGGCTGGGTCTTCCCTTTGAAGTCATCCCACCCCCCACCCCACCCCGGTCATTTTGGTGTTGAAGGCAAAGTCTGTCCTGGCAAACTTTTAAATATTTTCTTTGAATGTGTTCAGTGAGCATTTTACCCCCAAATGAAGAATCGAGGGTTAAATGCAGTCCCTGAATCAACTTGTATACCTAGTCTGAGATGCCATCAGTATAGACATCCTTTCAGACAACAGGGAAATCTTGGTTTTGTTGCCAGATTTCAGGCAAATGTTGACATAGAGGCAGCTATTCATATGAAAAGAGAACATCAAATCATATTCTGATTAGTGTTAAAGTAAGTAAAAACCAGCTTCAAGTGTGCAGGCAGTCCCCTGGTTCCAGAGAAGATAGGTTCTGTAGGTTTGTTCTCAAGTTGAATGTGTATGTGAGTTGGAACAGGTACATATTTTGAGAGCAACTTCTGTCATTTTTTTTAGTTTTGGATAGCATAGGAAATGGTTAACAGACCTGTGATGTTTGTTTTGCTGTCTGTGTCCCTGTTCAGAAGATTTTCCATCACTTTCTGTTCCTGTGACAATTGGTATTTTGACAATTTTGGATTGTCATAGAAAGAAAGATTAGTGATAAAGCATTTAATTCATTTTCAGACCAGTTCAGCTTATGAAATTAGTATGCTGGCCATATTCTTGGTATTCAGTGACTATGGATGCTCTGCCATCTCATTTCAGTTGTATGGGATTCTGTCTCTCTGGCAGTGGGGCTTCTATGTTACAAAATATGTCAGCATTTGTTGCTTTCTGGGGCTGTTTCTCACTTCAGTTCTCCTGCCTTTGGTTCTATTTCAGTTTAAACTAGTGATTACTCAAGTTCTGCTGGCCAATTTCTTCATTGCGCTCCTCATCGACAGAGTCTTGCAGTTCCTTCTGGGCAGCACAAAGCTCAAAGTGCCTTCTTGAGATGGAACCCCTCCCGGCGGAAGTGAAGGACGACGACACACACGGGAACAGCCACCACCCAGCATTGCAAAGGAATATTTATTCTTCGACACCAGTTTGGTACTGGCAGGCAATGGCCCACTGTGTTACTTTGGAACCCACTGCAAAGGTTGTGCAGGGGGCGACAATAACTTTCACATGTTTACTGAACATGACAGCAATTGTTGACTTTTGTACTGCCCCTGTGCTCCTGGAATGAGGTCATGGGATTTGGTAATTAAATGGCAATCAATGCATTTTACAAGGTGGCTGAAATGTTCTTTGTACACAAATTCTTCATCGCTGCTAAAATGGTACATTTTTTACTTACCTTGGTTTTTAGGAAGCTAACTAGCACAGGAACAAATCGTGTCTACTTTTATGTTCTGTTAAAATCATTCCCAGATTTTTTTTAAAAAAAAATGCATACTCAGAACACACCAAAGGTTTAGAAATGCCAGAAGGAAGCGCGCAAGTTTATTTAAAAATATGTTTTGCATAGAAAATACATATATGGAGGAATGATACTGAAGACATTTTGCTTCTATGAATAATGAAATGGATATAGTGCTGAGAGTTCTGTGAGCTTCCAGTAGGCAAGAATATAATTTACAAGCTTTAACCACTAAAGCCCTGGCCCCAAGAGTTCCTTCCTTTTATAAAAGAGCACTTCCATGCGCATTGCAGTTAGTTGGCTGTCTGTTTGGGTAAGAGCCTCCAATGCAGAAAGGCACATCCTTCAAGAAACTGCTGACGCTATGAGATGCTGGGCGGAAGCCTGGCGGCTGCAGTTCTTTCCACTACAAATCCATAGTCATACTGAAGAAAAAAACCAAAAAAGATCATTTTACTCACAAATGCAAGAGGACATACTTCAGTGGTAGAACACATGCTTTGGCCCTATTTCCACAGAAAGGGTGGTGACTACTGGGCCACACTGGTTCAACACAAGACAGTTTAATGTACTCTTTGTTTGGCCTTAAATTCAACTTACCTCTTTCTCAATGTCAGCAAGAGACTTGATATTGAAGTTTTGAAAGAGAGAAAATGCCTAGAAGAAGTGGAAAAAACCCAAAACTCTTTAACTTGCAAGGACTCTTCACAGCACCAGCATTATCACAGCTCAACAAACCTCCTCTAAAATAATTTCACTGCTTGTGAAACATGACTTTGAATTACTAGCATTTCCAGTTATCCTGATTTGGCATAGAAAGCAAAACAGGCCATTGTGAACTCACTCGGGAAAGAGACTCAATAAGAGTAATTCAATCCAATGCCCCCTTTCTCTTGACACATTTCAATTTTTTTGTCAAAAGCCTTATGCAGCACATCATCTTCCCACAAAGGCAGCAGCTTTTAAAATGGAGTCAGAGCAGTTGTTTTTGTATTTATAATACTTACATTAGTGCCCCCACTGACGCTGCTCTCAAACTTGGGGTGCAGGGTGAAGGGAACTCCATCCATGGCTAAGAAGGTGAGAGAACACATGAGTTACTCTGATAAATATATCTGGGCGGAGGGAATACTCCCTCTGTATTCCAGTTTCTTCTTTGTGGAGTCTGTGAAATTCACACATCCATTATGTGCAAATTTCACAGACTACCAACTCGAGGAAACACAGTTACAGGTAAGTAACTTGCATTTCTTTACACTATCTGTGCCAGATCTGGGGAATGAAATGTTGGGCCTGTTTGGGCACCTCTGCCCAATAGTGTTCTCTCATTTCCCTAAGAAAGCAAAGACACCTCCAGTGCTTACAAAACAGTTAAAATAATTTAGAAGCATTCAGCACTTGGTATTCTAAAAAGAGCAGTATTTTCCCCACAGAACTATTCTACTTGCTAAGAGTGCTGAGAGTAGCAAGCATAATGCACATTAAATTAGCAAGCAGGGCAACTATTTCTTTTTCTCACACTCTAGACTTTAGGATTACTTACCCGAGATGCCGTAGACATTTGAACTTTCATATATTGACTCATGTCGCTTAAGAGCCGCTGGCCTTGTGGGGACTGTGGGCTTTTCTGATGGAAGGTCTGCACTGAAAGGATTATGTGACAAGGTGTTTAAACAAAAGAGTAAATAAAACATGGCCTCCTGATGAATTTTCAGCTGTACTCATAAGGAACATAAGGAGTGCCATCAGAATCTGCTAGCTTTCTTTCCTGTGGTTTTAGGACTTATATGCTTAAAGGCAAACATGACCTGCACTTTTAGCCCTGGGGGGGGTTCTCATATCCTTTACTCTCATAGGCTCACCATGACAAAATGTGCCCCTCCCTAGAAAAGGGACTGGGGATGGTTCTCCCACACATGCTGAGCCCTGGAGATAACCCAGAGTTTCTCCAGAAAGTCAGATCTCATCATTTGGACTCTGAAGGGGCAGCACCAGGTTTACCTGCCAATAAGAGCAAAAGGTGGTTCCAATGTTTGAAAAGACAGGACTTATTTTAAAAAGTAGGATGCTGGTTTGCTACTGCTTGCCTGTCCAAAGTTCACTTCACTGCCCCTAGTTTCTCATATTGGCTATATTTTGTTACATTTGGATACAAAGCGAATATGAAGATTGTGCAAGCCATTGTAAAATGGAATGGCTGCTTTTCATAGCATAAAACTTGGCTTTTAGTGATGTAGGCTGAACATCAGCAGTTAATAGTTAACATATTAAACTGGGCTGAAAAACAAAGGGTGCAATCTGTTTCAACTGCTATCTCTTCAAATGCCTCAATCTGAGAACTGTTTAAAGGCAGATACTAAATTTTGGTCCATCATTTGTCTGGCCAGTAAGTCAGATGAATAATACACTCCTAACAAGTGAAGACTTGAGTGAGACTTTATTTATTTACTAGCCACGTGTTGCTGCGGCCCAGTGTTGCTGCAGCCCAGTCTGTGTATATGTGCTTTGTGTGTGTATATATTTGTGCATATGTGTATATATGTGTGTTTGCATGTATATGTGCTTTGTGTGTAGTTTTGTGCATTTTTTGACTTTTTAAGTCTCTTCAGCTGTGTTTTTCAGTGTTTTTATGAGTGATAGTCACTTGTAGGCCTGATACGTGTATTGTGTCCAAATTTGGTGTCAATTCGCCCAGTGGTTTTTGAGCTATGTTAATCCCACAAACAAACATTACATTTTTATTTATATAGATTTACTGCATTTCTACCCCGCTCTCTCTTACCCCAGAGGGGACTCGGAGCGGCTTCCAGTTTGGCAATAATTCAGTGCCACATTAAAATATAAAAGCATATAAATACACAACACATTAAACATCAAATTCAAATAATGAAGCATATAAATACAAATAAATAACTATTCAAAACATAGCACCTAGTCCTGCAATCATAGTCCAAGCTGATTCATGTATATTGCACTGTGGTTGTACTACTCCCCAAACACTTGGTTCCACGGCCAGGTTTTATCTTTCTTTCTGAAAACCAGGAAGCCAACCTAATATTGCTGGGGAGAGTTTCATAGCTGAGGGGCCAGCACTGAGAAAGCCCTATCCCTTGTCCCCACCAGTTACTCCTGTGAAGGGGGTGAGTGCAAGAGCAGGGCTTCCCCAGCAGATCTTAATGTCAAAACTGGTTCATAGGGGAGAGACCTTCGGACAGGTAAGCTGGACCAGAACAGTTTAGGGCTTAATAGGCTAAAGTCTGCACTTTGGATTCTGCTTGGTAGCATACTGGCAGCCAGTGGAGCTGACATTACGGGGGTTGTATGTTCCCTGTACGCCACTCCAGTAAACAATCTGGCTGCTCCCCATTGTACTATTTGCAGCTTCCAAACAGTCTTCAAGGGCAATCCCAGGTACAGCGCATGGCAGTAGTCCATTCAGACTGTAACAAGAGTGTGGACTACCGTGACCAAGTCTGGCTTTTCAAGGTACGGGTGCTGTTGGCACACAAGTTTTAATTGTGCAAAAGCTCCCCTGGCCACCACCGAGACCTGGGGTTCCAGACTCAGTGATGAATCCAGGAGAACTCCCAAGCTGCGAATGTATGATTTCAGGGGCAGTGTAACCCCATCTAGCACAAACTGTAACCCTATAGGCTGTTCAGCCTTTTGACTAACCAGAAGTACCTCTGTCTTGTCTGGATTCAATTTCAATTTGTTCTCCCACATCCAGGCCGCCACAGCTGCCAAACACAGGTTCAGGACTTGGACAGCCTCCTTCGCAGCAGGTGGAAAGGAGTGATAGAGTTGGATGTCATCTGCGTACAGATGGCATCCAACTCGAAAACTCTGGATGAGTATGACTCAGATAAGCTACTGGAAGCAATTGCTAGAAGAGAAATCATTTTGGCCTGGTGTCTACATATTGTACGAGGCTACTAGAGATGAGAAACTGGTAGCTCACAGGCCATTGGACTGAATCACTTGTGACAATAATTGGGCAAAGTCTATAGCAACATTTTTAAAATGTCCAAAACTTACTTTTCTGGTTCTAGTGAGAGCCTTCTCATTTCTAAACTGATGTTCCGTGGCTTAGGGAGAGGTTTAGGTTTGGCAACAGACTCCTTTCGACACCAAAGTGCAAATCCACCCATTTCCCTAGATGGGGAGAGGAATATATTTTTTGAAAAAACAAATAAACTATCAGCCTAATAGAATAGCAAGAAGGCATACAACAGAAAACACCTCACCCTATGCGCAAGTAATTTGGGACCACTTTGCTTTTGCTGCTCAGCAGGATGTCAAAGACGGCTGTTTCTGCCGCACCCAGCGGAATTAGCTTGACACACAGCCTCTTCTTCTTGGAGATGGATGTCTCTGCAGGAAGAAGCAGAAACAAAACGGATTAATAACATACATGAGGTAAAGATGTTTAAGACAGGAAACTGTATATGTATGTGTGTGTGTGGGGGGGGGGGGTTAGCCCTCATAACACATACAAAATTACTGCTGGGAAGCAGGGCATCTTAGAGTACTGTTTCATAAACCGGGTCCTGACACTAAATGGGATGTTCTTACCTCAATGTTGGGATCACAAACAATTTGGCAACAGTAAAAAGGTTTTCCCATTGTGGTCAATTGTGAATACGCACATATGCTAGTTTCTGCGGCTGAGCAGACAGCTTCGGAACCTTCTAGATAAATTTGAAAACTTTGGCAGTTGGCCCCGCCCACTCTCCCCTTGCGAGCATAAAGAGCAGGTGGGTGGAGCCACTGACTCAGTTCTTTTGATCCGCTGCTCTGTCAGCAGCAAAAGAACCTTCACTTATGAATTGCCTTTAGGACTGCCTGTGTTTTTGTCCGGGTTGCATATCGTTTCACTGTCTCTCTCCCTTCCTGACCTCGGACTGTTTCGTGGACTTGCTAAAGGTTTACTCATAAATAATCCACTCTCCTGTGGAGAATATGGCAGCTTCATCAGCCTTTAAGCGCTGTACCACATGCTCAACTTTTTATTCAGAGAATGATGGTCATTCTCTCTGCCTTCTCTGCCTGGGAGAGAGCCATCTATTCCAGTCTCGCGCTATCTGCCAGGCATTTACATGCCAAACAAGAAAAAATAGGGTGTCTCGCCTTAAGGCTGCGCTATACAAGCGAGCCTTGCTCCCTCCATCCTAGGCCAACAGCACTATCAGCGCTGCTGCCCCCTCAGGGGGTAATAGCAATAACGTCTTTCCAATGGTGGCCGTTGAAAAAGATGGCGCCCTTCAGGAAAAAAGAAAAATACTAAGAAGGCGAAGGGTCATGGTGGCTCTAGTGAAGCCAGAAAAATCCCTCCTGAAAGGGCTGGGACATCTGCTGCCCCATCTCAGAAAACGGCAGCTCCTTTGAGGCAGAAGCAGGACAATCAGAGCCTAACCATGCCGAAGGCACAGCTTGATGTAACGGTGGGCCCTCAGCCACTTGAGGAGATTCTGACCCCAGATCCTACCCCGCCATCCCTCCCAACGCCCTCCATACCGGAGGCGCAAGATCAAGAGAAAGATGGCATACTTCTGGCTCTGCCCCCGCCTTTGGGCCCATATCCGTCTTGTACATCCAGCTCAAGGACTTCTTTGAGCCTGAGGCACGCTCGCCCACCTTCCTGACGTTGCAATCAATCCACCTTGGGGAGCGGATTGAGCCCCTCCTCCTCCTCCAGCCCCTCAACCACCTCGGGACACCGATCCCACAGAAGAGGCAAGGGACGTGCCCGCTGGTCTTGATCTGCTTCTTGCTGGAGTGGACATGCACCTGGACATCTGGCCATGCCCTCAAATCCTGCCTACTGGCAAATGTCCCTGAGGGGACAATATTTCTACTTCGGGGGACCCTTCTTATCTTCCCAAGCAGGAGGGAAGCAGGGAGATATTTCCTCATCTGGCATCTAGCATGGACCGATACCATAGGTGGCTTTTCAAGCGCCCCCTGTGGCCATATCGAGTGCAGCACAAGAATCAACTGTTTCTTTGGCACTGTTAGAGGCCTCTAGTGCACAGCCTGCCACTATTTCCTCAACGACCACTTTGATGGAGCCGCCATATTCTCCACAGGAGAGTGGATTATTTATGAGTAAACCTTTAGCAAGTCCAAGAAACAGTCCGAGGTCAAGAAGGGAGAGAGATGGTGAAATGATATGCAATCCAGTCAAAAACACAAGCAGTTCGTAAGCGAAGGTTCTTCTGCTGCTGACAGAGTGGCAGATCTAAAGAACTGAGGTGGTGGCTCCGCCCACCTACTATTTATGCTCACAAGGGGAGGGTGGGCGGGGCCAACCGCCAAAGTTTTCAAATCTAGCTAGAAGGTTCCAAAGCTGTCTGCTCAGCCACAAAAACTATCACATGTGCGTGTTCACAGGTGACCACTCGGGAAACTACGGTTAGAAGCAAATATAGTTGCAAATGTCAATTTATTTTCAGTTGCTGTTTGATTTTTATACCTATTTCTCAGGGGAAAAGTATAAGAAGGCCGATCTTAGACAGGAAAGGGCAAAGTTTTTCAGCAATCAACAATCTATAGTCTGCTAAGAACTCTTGTAATTTCTACACTTTTCATGTTTGATTTAAGATGAGGCTTTCCACCCCAACAACAGAGTCTAGAGTTACAACTGTACAAGCGCAGGATCAAACTACACACACAAATCTTAAAACGTTGTTGTGGAATTACATATCACACTTTCCTCGGTAGCACAATCCCCAACCAGAGCAGGACAAGCTCACAAATTGGGGGGAGGGAGAGCTTAAATTTCCCCAATTTGTTTTTTAATGTAATGTCTGGCAGGACAGGGGTTTAAAATTTCTAGCAGTGACTTGAGACATGTTTTTAAGAGATGTACAGAGACAATTTTAAATGGAGAAATTAAGCTTATTTCCAATTTAGATCAAAGCAATACAGGTTTACTCTAGAGCAGTGCTGCCCAAAATAGTGTCCGGTGAACAATCACCACTCCATGAGCCATAGGTTGCTAGTCCTCTGCAATTTTCCATTTGTAGCCAATTGGCATTAACTATGACTCACTGGAAAAAATTATAATGCTTGGGGAGAATGTGCTAGAAACTCAATAAAGGAAGCCAGATGATGCAAGACTTGATCAGGACACTTAATGATAGAGTCTCTTGGAGGTCTCTCATTCATAGGGTCACCATACATCAACTTGATGGCAAGCAACAACAAAAGCACTAGGGAAGCAATTCAATCTTTTGGGAAAATTATAAACAGAGTGTCCCCCCGCCCCCCGCAGGCAAACTCACTTGAATCTGAAAATTCTTTAACGTAAGTGTATCCAGTAGGCAATGGTGTTTTCTCACTCAAGATTATGACGTCATAGAGTACATCTCCTGCAGGATTCTAAAAGAGAAGCAGACTCCATGAACTCTTGAGCCACTTTTGAATAACTAGCCACTTTTGAATAACAAGCCACTTTTGAATAACATCTTGTGTATCACTTGTCCAGAAACCCTGATGCTGTTCCTACCATATTGTTTATTGTTGATGTATAACAGAGGTAGTACTTCTGTGCAAATCCTTTCCCAAAGTTGGCGGATGTTCCTTCCACAGTTGATGTGATCTAGGTACAGTATGAAGAGAAAGGACGCTTAGGAAACAACATGAAAAGGCTCCGCTGTATCCAATCCAGTCTCAGATGACTGGTCTATGGGTGATTCTTAACTACTAGTGGCTTTCATACAATACACTAAACATGATAACTGGGCTTATAAAGAAAGAGTGGTGAGCTTTCTGTAGAACAGCTAGGTCTTCCTTCCCAGTTACTAATGGAGCAAAAATGTTATTACCTGGCTATTACTGTTCTTTGTCCCTAGAGTTTGCATGGACAATAAAGAGAATGGTTTTCACTCACACAGAACCCATCTTAGCTAACACCAAATACCAACTGAAACAGAATGTAGCCATGTGACCCTATCATCTTCACATTTTTTTTAAAATCCTGCATGATTTTTAACATATTTGGCTGATGAAGAAGCCAGTTAAACTTCAAAAAGTTGCATGACACATTTTATGTATTTTGGCTGGCTCATAAAGGAACATTTGTGGATTCTGGTGTAAGTAACAGGCCTTGTGAACCCCATGGTTGAGTTATTTGAGCTGTTGAAGACATTGCAGCATAAGGAGAGCGAGTGTGTATATCTATACTCCCAAACGCAGAATTAGGACCAGGGAGTGTCATACAGGAAAATTCCTCACAGCAAACTTTTGTGTAATAAAGGTCATGGGAGAGAAAAGCAAATGCTGTGAGTTTAATTATACAACACCCACAGAGCCTTGAACATTTTCAAGAAAATGTGCTCCTAAAGCCAACCCACTGAATAGGTGCCATTCATTTAAAAAGCACAATGACCCAAGCAGGTGGTACAGAAAAAATAGCAAATAGAGCAGGCAGGAAACAAAGCAAAGGCTTTTCATCTCGAGTCCAGTAGAGAAAACCAGGAAGCAATGAAGCAAGAAAGAGAGAATGAGTAAGCCAGACCAACACTAGCCAAACCAGTTTAAAGAAACCTCCATATGACAGCTATCTTCTTGTAATTATATAGGCTATGACCTGTTTCCTTAATCTATTATCACAAATGACCTGGATTTATTGGCATCTTAACTTCTACAATAAGCTACACTCAGTTTGCTGTCGAAGGCTTTCATAGCTGGAATCAATGGGTGGCTGTGCGTTTTCCAGGCTTTATGGCCAGGTTCCACAAGCATACTCTCCTGATGTTTCACCCACATCTATGGCAGGCATCCTCAGAGGTTGAGGGGTCTGTTTACTTTGCTGTCAAATATCTTTGACAGCTAGTGGCAGTGTAGATAAAAAGTGTTTGTTGTTTATTCGTTCAGTCACTTCCGACTCTTCGTGACCTCATGGACCAGCCCACGCCAGAGCTCCCTGTCGGCCATCACCACTCCCAGCTCCTCCAAGGTCAAGCCAGTCACTTCAAGGATACCATCCATCCATCTTGCCCTTGGTCGGCCCCTCTTCCTTTTTCCTTCCACTTTCCCCAGCATCACTGTATTCTCTAAGCTTTCCTGTCTCCTCATGATGTGGCCAAAGTACTTCAACTTTGTCTCTAATATCCTTCCCTCCAATGAGCAGTCGGTCTTTATTTCCTGAAGTATGGATTGGTTAGATCTTCTCACGGTCCAAGGCACTCTCAGAATTTTTCTCCAACACCACAGTTCAAAAGCGTCTATCTTCCTTCGTTCGGCCTTCGTTCGTAAGGTCCAGCTCTCACATCCGTAGGAAATACCACTGCTTTAACTATGTGAATCTTGGTTGCCAGTGTGATGTCTCTACTCTTCACTATATATTTTTTAAAATGAGATGCAGAAAAGAGAGGAATTTAACATCAAAATTTCATACTAAAATATCAATTAATTTCATATTTTATTGTCTTGATATAAAATGTACTAAAATTAGCAATACTGTCATGTAGACTTTGGACTGCTGTGGTCTTTTTATTGCATGGATAACCACCCAAAAGCTGGCCAAAATGTAAAACATTTCCCAGCCTTCTGTTGCAACCCAGCTGCTTGTTTGACCCCTTTTCACACAGACACCACACAGTCCAACAATAATAATGGTGGCGGGATTGGGGAAAAAACTGGTATTTTGAATGTTACTTTCAAAGATGGTATGTTTCTATGTATTAAAAGAAAGGGAAAAAAAGGAAAAAAACAACAATAATGAGTTTATTAAGAAAGGAGTATATAAAAATAGTATAAGCAATTATCTAAAAGTCATTTAAAATAAGCAAACTAAACATGCAAGAAAGAAAAATCGAAAGCTACATTGTAAAAGCAGTATCCAAGTTACATCCATCAGATAGATATCAAGAGCTTGACAAAAGGCAAAGAGCAACTCTGAACATGAATCCAAAAATCACGGAAGATAAAACAAGAAATGGTAATCCCAAGGTGGTGGCACACAATACATGACTATAATCCCAAAGGTTTGAAACAAGACTTGTAATCCAAACAGAAGACATGAAACTTAAACAGGAAAACAAGATCCAAAAACCAAGAGTCAGAACTCCTAACGCGGAGCTTCACTGACAGGCAACTTGATACATGAAATTTCAATGTTGGTCTCCACACCAAACAAAACCTCAGATTTGTTAAGAAGTCTCCCTCTTACCTAAACATCATTATTTCCCACACCTAAGCTCCCTTTTTTCAGTCTCTGAGAACAACAAATCTGTCTCTGCTTGACATCCTTCTGTCTGGGCAATAAACGCTGGGTTATCCCTGGGTTACCACCAGTAGCCTTCTGGTCTCCTCCACATTCCTTTCACAGTCCCTGGGAGATTTTCATGACAAACATGGTCTGTTTCCCTGACAACAGGTCTATCCAAAATATCTTGAAAAACACTTTCTCTCACAGAAGTAACAGGATCAAACAAAAAAATCCTCAACCTCATCCTCATAGGAAGAGGCATCACAGGCCTCAACACCTTCCTAGGCAAACTTCCGTTCAGCCCTGATTTCACCAGCATAACCCTGGAAAAATATAGATTGAGTCTCTCTTGGGCAATTAAATGTTTGAGATCCAAGGTGCTTTGGATTTGGAGAATTTCAGATTTCTGAACTCCTGTGTTTGCATGTACGCAAAATGAGATATCTTGGCGATGGGATCTATCACAAAGCATTCAGTATCAGTATCTCACCTACCCATGTGAAAAATTGGGGATTTGGGGGGATTCCAAATTTTGGACTCCCAGATAAAATTTGCTCATCCTGTAATAACATCTAGAATTTATGTAACATGTTCTAAATAGCTTGAAGATATTGTGGCCATAAAATAAGCAGAACACTCCTGTGAAAATGGCATTCTCCTATAATGCAGATGGTAAGAGTGAGTGGGTAACAACTTTCCTCACATCCTATATCTTTTTTATACCTGAGAAATTAACTGGCAATTTCCCAAGTCACACTTCATGGCTTCTAGGTTACAAGTGCATGATTCCAAGCCTCCGTTTTCCTATGAAAACAGGATGCCCAAGCAGCCTTCCTCTTAAGAATACAACCAAGACAAACCAAATGAAAACCTTCTTGTTTTAAAAGCAGTATTGTTATACAGATACACATATAATTTGGAACTAGGTTGGTCCACCAGGCCTGGTACTGCCAACTTGAATTGGCAACAATTCTCCTGAGTCTCAGGCAAAACATTTTGATCATTCTAGCTGGAGATGCCAGTAGCAGAACCCACATCTACAGTGTAGAATTAATGCAATTTGACACCACTTTAACTCCCATACTTCAATGCAATCATAGAAATTATAGTTTCGCAAAGTAGTCAGCCTTCTCTGCCAAAGAGTGCTTGTGCCTCACAAAATCATAACTCCCAGAATTCTACAGCCTTGATCCAAGGCAGTTAAAAGCGCTGTCAAACTGCCTTAAATCTACAGTATGGATGCACTCTGCATTAACACCGTTGCTCTCTCAAGCCCTTCCCAATTTAAGTCTTATATCTCACACACAAAACCATTGTCACCTCTCCATTCACGATCATGTTATGGACCACTGGAATGTTTTTACAAAGAAATGGGACAAATACGCAGAAGGAAAAGCTGTCCATAGCTACCATTAAGGTCACACTGAGAAGACCAGAGGCAGCAAGTTTCTGCACACTGGTTATTGAGAGATATTAATGATACTGCACCAAATTCCACCAAGAAACTCCCATAATAGGATTGTCTCTGGGATACCATATGTCAAAAATGACCTGAAGGCACACAACAACCACAACCACACTAACCATTCCCTAACCTGAAACCTGTAAAGTGACTTAAAAGGTAATGTAGAGGTCACCAATTTACACCCATCAATTACGGACATCTAGAAGCCACGTAAAACTTCTTCATTCAAACTGACTCTCAATCTCCAAGAATAAGGTAAAATGATAGTTTAATCAATGCTAATTAAGACTGATTAACACAGCTCAGCACCCTAAGCCCTTTGAAGGGGAAAGAGCTTTAAATAAAATCAATGCATTCCCATAATCATGAACCCAAAACCTCTTTCAAAGTGAAGCACAATGTTGTTGGAGAAATTAAAGACTATGAGCAAGCAAAGCCACAGACAGCCAGTTGCAAAGCAAAGCAAGTTGAATGCCACACTTCATGCCCTGAAACCTCAAAAATGTTTGAAAGCACTCTTTGTCCTTTTCTTCAATCACTAGGGGAAATTACTATTTATATGCTCAAAACTGCTCCTCCCAATGCTTAAATGATACTTTTAAGTTATGGTCAACACCTCATAACAATTCAAAAACATCCAGAGCATCTACATCTGCTAGGTGTTTGAAGTGCCAGTCCGTCCGTCCCCGTGCCCCCCACCCCCCAGCTTTATACATTTTATTTATTTTATTCATTTTTCTTGCTTTCACATTTTTTTCATTCTAAGATGCACTTTTTCCCCCTTATAAACATCTCTAAAACTGGGAACTGCTGGTAGTTTTCTTAGATATAAATAAAGCTCTTTTTTCCTCCTTTTGGTGGTACTGAAATTGGCGTGAATCTTACAATCGATGAAAGTGTTGTTGAAGGTTTTCATGGCCAGAATCACTGGGTTGCTGTGAGCTTTCTGGGCTGTATGGTCATTTCCAGAAGCATTCTCTCCTGACATTTCACCCACATCTACGGCAGGCATCCTCGGAGGTTGAAAACTGGTGGAAAACTAGGCAAGTGGGGCTTATATATCTGTAGAATATCCAGGTTAGGAGCAAGAACTCTTGTCTGCTTGAGGCCAGTGTGAATGTTGCAATTATCCACCTTCATTAGCACTGAATGACCTTGCTGCTTCAAAGCCTGGCTGATTGCTGCCTGGGGGAATCCTTTGGAGGTGTTAGCTAGCCCTGACTGATTCATGTCTGGAATTCCCCTGCTTTTAGAGTGTTGTTCTTTGTTTATTGTCCTGATTTTAGCACCTGATTAACCAACCTGGACAAAGCATAACATTTGAGGACACAAAAATGCTGGACCACTTTAACAACTACTATGTCACAATACACAGAGAAGCCATTGAAATCCACAAGCATGTGGACAATTTCAACAGAAAGGAGGAAACAATTAAAATGAACAAAATCTGGCTACCAGAATTTAAATAAAACTCTAAAACTTTACACACAAAATATTGGAACTGTTCTATATATATTTACCTTCAGGCAATATGTATACGGTGTATCTAAAACATACATGATATTAATGTTTAGATGTAGGTTCCATCTCCAGGATATCTCATTACATATATGCAAATATCTCAAAATCAAAGAACAAATTCAAAATCTGAAACTGTTTGGTCCCCAAACATTTCAGATAAGGGACAAGCAACATGTGCTATGAATTCTGATACTGACAGAGTTCAAACCAAGTTCCCTTGGTTGCTGTGAGTTTTTCAATGGCTTTTCTGTGTAGTCTGACATGGTGGTGAGTGGTCCAGCATTTCTGTGTTCTCAAATTATATTGAAATTGAAATACACAAGCATGTGGACAATTTCAACAGAAAGCGGGAAACTTTAAAATGAACAAAATCTGACTACCAGTTTAAAAAAAAAACCTCTAAAATCAGGACAGTAAATAAAGATAAACGTTCAGATAACAGGGGAATCCCAGGCATGCAACAATCAGCGCCAGCTAACTCCTCCCAACAAAGGATTCCCCAGGCAGCAACCAGCCAGGCTTTGAAGCTGCAAGGCCATTCAATGCAAATCAAGGTGTCCAATTGCAACATTCACACTCGCCTCCAGCAGACAAGGGTTCTTTCTCCCACCCTGGACATTCCACAGATATATAAACCCCACTTGCCTAGTTTCCAACTGACCTCACAACCTATGAGGATGCCTGCCATAGATTTAGGTGAAACGTCAGGAGAGAATGCTTCTGGAACATGGCCATAAAGCCTTGAAAACTCACAGCAACACAATGATTTCAGCCTTCGACAACACATTGCCTGCTTTGGCTTCATCTCAGGCACTACATCTCAGGCATAGAGTTCCCATGGTGCAATCCTTGCACTGGCAGGACTGATGACCAACAAGTCAGTGGTCTGAATCTGGGGAGAGCAGATTGAGCTCTTGTCTGTCAGCTCCAGCTCCCCATGTGGGGGCATGAGAGAAGCCCCCCACAGGATGGTAAAACAGCGACCATCCAGGCGTTCCCTGGGCAACGTCCTTGCAGACAGCCAATTTCCTCATACCAGAAGCAACTTGCCGTTTTTCTCAAGTCGCTTCTGACACACACACACACAAATCTCAGGCACATAGTGGTTATTGGAGTGGCCCAGCATTTCTGTGTTCTCAAATGATATTGAAATTGAAATACACAAGCATGTGGACAATTTCAACAGAAAGGAGAAAACAATGAAAATGAACAAAATCTGGCTACTAGTATTTAAAAAACTCGAAAATCAGGACAGTAAATAAATATCAACACTCAGAAAACAGGGGAATTCCAGACATGAAACAATCAACGCCAGCTAACACCATCCAGCAAAGGATTCCCAGGAATGTAGCCGGGGGGGGGGGGGGGCTTCAGCCCCCCCCCCCAAATTCTCATGGTGGTTCGCGAAAAGGCCTTACTGGTGCATTATTTAAACTGTTATGTTTATTCCTATCATGATCTGATCACCATACTCAATATATCCCATATGCATGGGGGTATTGGGGTAATGATACAAAAGGTTTGCTAGGGTAGACCCTCTTTCACTCAGACTCAGCCCCCTCCCCAAACTCACCCCCCCTGAAAAAATATCAGCCCCCCCCCTCCCCAGGCATGGGCCTCAACCCCTTTGCTCAATGTTGAGTCCTGAAAATTTGGCAACAGCGAAACGTTTCTGAACATCACTCTTTTAGACATTTACACAAATCTGTTGTGTTGTGTGTTTACAGTGGACTCTGCAGAAGATGCTTCAGCTGCACTTCATAAAAAGGAAAAACAGCCTGTTTAGGAAGACTTGCAAAAGCTGATTTATGTCTGGTTTTTACACCTATTTTATATACCTATGGGCCTAAAATCATGTAAACATTCCTCATGCCAAAGAGGAAACAGTTCAAGGCCCCTTCCACACAGCTGCATAAAATCCACATTGAACTGGATTATATTGCAGTGTGGGCTCAGATAATCCAGTTCAAAGCAGGCATTGTGGACTATCTGTCTTGATATTCTGGGTTATATGGCTGTGTGGAAGGGCCTTAGAAGCCCTGATGGAGACATGGATTGGCTAACTCTTCCGGCTCTCCAGGCCTCACCCATCTTCCATGATTATTTCAACTGGAGATTGCAGTGTTTATTTTATGCTATTTGTATTTCTCCTGGCACAGGACCCCACGTGGTTCACAACAAGACAGGACATGCACAAAAAACTATGTGGTACAAAGGTTTTAGAGTTGTGAAATAAACACTTCTACTCGAAACACTAAATTACAACAGTGAACATATAGTTTTTAAAAAGTCAAAGCCCAAGCATTTTGAATAAAGGATGCTCAGTTTGTGTTCGATAGAGAAAACACACATCTTTCTAAACAGCTGCTAACTTAAGGGCCTATCTTTTTCCTACCTTCATGTGTTTTAATGGCCTTGTGTTGTCTCCTATGCATTTTAACTGTGGTAAAACCTTAAGCAGAGGCGGCTAACAAATACAGTTGATCATTATTATTATGAATGTCCTGCCTCTCACCGAAGTCCATCCCGCGCTTGCCACGTTGGCCGAGGTCCAAGCGAGGCCGGTCAGCGGCGCGGTCATGGCGGCCCCGGGACGGCGCCCACTCCCCTCCCTTGCTTCCCTCCTGGAGCGGAGCCTGCCTCACACTGAGGGACGCGACACAGGGAACTGCCCGCACTCTCCCTTGGCCCCGCCTACCGGAGACGACGATAAGCTCCCCGCCTGTTCGCTCACAATGGGGACTCTCCGGATTGGCTGATTTCGAGGCCTTGGAAACCAATGAGGAGTTTTGCTTCACTCTTTCTCTCGGGAAAAGCCGGAAAAGTTGATGCAGTTGAAAGCCGAGGAGGGGGCGGGGGGATAGGAGCGCTCGAGCTATGACGTCAGCTGATTGGCTGTTAACGGCTGAGGCGGTGCTTTGTATATGAATTCAGAAGACCTGCAAGCCACTCTAAACACCTTCGCAGAAGCAGACGAGAAGCATGGCCTGTCAATAACATTAGAAAACCAAAGTGCTGTTCCAGCAGTCACCAGCCAACTCCTCTCCAATGCCAGAAATACAGCTTAATGGTGTAACATTAGAAAATGTTGACCATTTCCGCTACCTTGGCAGCCACCTCTCCACCAAAGTCAACATCGATACCGAAATACAACACCGCCTGAGCTCTGCGAGTGCAGCATTTTTCCGAATGAAGCAGAGAGTGTTTGAGGACCAGGACATCCGTAGGGATACCAAGGTGCTTGTTTATAAAGCTATTGTCCTCCCAACCCTGCTCTATGCCTGTGAGACGTGGACTGCCTACAGACGTCACATGCAACTCCTGGAACGATTCCATCAGCGCTGCCTCCGGAAAATCCTGCAAATCTCTTGGGAAGACAAGCGGACAAACGTCAGCGTGCTGGAAGAAGCAAAGACCACCAGCATTGAAGCAATGGTCCTCCACCATCAACTCCGCTGGACCGGCCACGTTGTCCGGATGCCCGACCGGCATATAAATGCCGTAAATAAATAAATAAATAAATAAATTAGGTGAGATCTGCCTTTATCGAAGGCTTTCATGGCCTGAATCACTGGGTTGTTGTAGTTTTTTTCGGGCTATATGGCCATGTTATAGAGGCATTTTCTCCTGACGTTTTGCCTGGATCTATGGCAAGCATCCTCAGAGGTAGTGAGGTGAAAATGGAATGTTGGTGGGCAGGAAAAGAGATTTAAAGATGGGCTCAAAGCCAACCTTAAACTCTGGTATAGACACTAAGAACTGGGAAGCCCTGGCCCTTGAGTGCTCCAGCTGGAGGTCAGCTGTGACCAGCAGTGCTGCAGAATTTGAAGAGGCACGAATGGAGGGCGAAAAAGAGAAACATGCCAAGAGGAAGGTGCATCAAGCCAACCCCAACCAGGACCGCCTCCCACCTGGAAACCAATGCCCTCACTGTGGGAGAAGATGCAGATCAAGAATAGCGCTCCACGGCCACCTACGGATCCACCCCTAGGTTACCACTCTTGGTTTTTTTTTTTTTTTAAATCTTTATTAGGTTTTTGATAAAATGCAGTGGGGGGGGTAGGCAAGGGTTGGGGGGAAGTCGAGGAAAAAAAAGGGGAATACATCACATATATAAATCAACATATACAAGCACACGCTGTATACCCACCTACATGCATATACAGATAGAGATAGTGGAAAGAGAAAGAAAAAAAGAAAAGAGAAAAAAAAAGAATATAAAAAGACTTCCATTCAGTTTCCAAACAGTACATCATCTGATATCCCTAGGTATCCCTCGGGGGGAACCCTATTTTGATTTTCACCCGTCCATACCAATATAATACCTATTTATGTCTCACCATTTCAAATCTTAATAATTTTTACATTCAAATTTGCTTTTCTTGTATTCCTCAAATTCAGTCCAATCCGTCTGTTTCACGGGTCTTCCAGAGCTGTTTCTCAGGAAGAACGTTAACTTATCCATATCCCTTATTTCAAATAATTTGTCTAGCCATTCTTCAATTGTTAGGTTACCATTCTTGGAGGACCATCATCCTTGGACTACAAGGGATCACCTAAAATATGAATGGTGTTAGCCTCCTAAATCAGGCATGGGCAGAACGGCCCTCCAGGCTTTTGGACTTCAACTCGCATCATTCCTAACAGCCTCCCCCCCCCCCCCCCCCCCCCCCCCAGAGGCCAAGTTTACCCATGCCTGGTATATATATCTCTGTCAGAGAAGGCTAAAGACCTTAAGAAACTTTAACTTCCAAGATTCCGTAGCTTTTAGCCCTGGCAGCCTAACTGCATCTGTTCGTAGACACAGCCTCTTATTTCACTTGGAGAGCCCAAGTTTGCCCATGCCTGTCCTAAATAGACCAGGCCCTGTCTGATCTTGGAAGCCAAGCAAGGTAGACCTTGGTTGGCATTTGGATGAGAGGCCACCAATTTGTTATTAGGCTGTATGCCAGGCCCCTTCTACACTGCCATAAAAAAATCCAGAGCATCTGCTTTGAACTTGATTAGTGTTCCCTCACTTATCACAGGTGTTCCAGAATCACCCGAAAAGTGAAAATCCGCAAAGTAGGGATGCTATATTTATATAAATAAAAATGTAATGTTCGTTTGTGGGATTAACATAACTCAAAAACCACTGGATGAATTGACAAAAATTTGGACACAATACACCTATCAGGCCAATGAGTGACCATCACTCATACCCCCCCCCCCCAAAAAGCAGCAGAAAGGTCTTAAAAACCCCAAAAAGCTAAATGACAATACAGTTGTAGATGCTGAGATTACTAACCATGGAGCCCTTGCTCTGCAGGGATTAACCTCTCTCTACCTTTGAGCCCAATGCTTATCCAGCCTATGTCTGGAAGGAAGGAAGGAAGAAAAGGGGGAAGGAGGGAGGGAAAGAAAGAAGGAGGGAAGGAAGGGAATGAAGGAAAAAAGCAGAGAAGGAAGGAAAGAAAAAGGTAGAGAAGGAAGGAAGGATGGGGAAAAAAGAGAGAAGGAAGGATGGAATCAAAGAGCAAAGGAAGGTAGGCAGGTAGGAAGGAAGGGAGGGAGGAAGGAAAGAGGTAGAGAAGGAAGAAAAGCGAGAAAGGAGAAAAGAAGAAGGGAAAGAAAAAGGAGGGAAGTAAGGAAAGAGGGAAGGAAGGAGAGAAAGAGGGAGGGAAAGTTGGCCATAGCAACGCGTGTGGCGGGTACAACTAGTAGGTGTGTATGTATGAGTGTATATGTGTGTGTATGTGCGTATAATATCGCATTCCAAGGGTGAAGGGGCTATAAGGCCATGATTTACATACTGCTCTCTCTTTTTTATGATTGACTGCCTCTCTACTGAGGGGGAGGGTGAAACCCCCTTCCACACTCCATCGTTGCCAGGAGGCAAAAACTCACAAAACAGCAAGTCCACTAAAAGCAAACCACGAAGTAGCAAAGAAACACTATATATGGCAGTGTAGACTGAGGCCCCTTCAACACTGCCATCCAATTATCAGTGCAGATGATCCAGATTATCTTCTTTGAACTGGATTATATGAGTCAACACCAGGCATGGACAAACTTCAACTCTCCAAGGGTTTTGGACTTCAACTTCCACCATTCCTAACAGCCAACAGACTGTTAGGAATGGTGGAAGTTGGAGTTTAAACCAACTGGAGGGCCGGAGTTTGCCCATGCCTGATCTCCACTGGCATATAATCTTGTTTAAAGCAAATAATTTGGATTATATAATGAGAGAGACGTAGTTTTAAAGGGGAATATTCAGGGATGTTCCCAACGGCCATATGTTACTGCCACATTGGCCTGCTTCTGCAAAGGGCTTTTGTTTATAGAAAATGCTGATGGTTTGCGAAAATGTTGCTGCAGAGAGAGGAAGTTACTTTTCATGGATAAAAGTACATCAAAACTGGCTAGCTAGTGGCTAGTTAGTACTCCCCAACTTTCCCAGTTGTTTTGGAGTTATGCTTGCAACAGAAGAACTGATTTTATATTTATTGTATCAGGAGTGAACCAAGGGTACAGTTGTAATGTATTTAAAAACAAACAAAAAAACCCCACAAAGTTTGAAAACTTGGCATTATATTAAATGTCCTTTGACCAGTAGCTGGCCACTTGGAGTGCCTCTGGTGTTGCTATAAGAAGGTCCTCCATTGTGCATGTGGCAGGGCTCAGGTTGGTCTCTGGTTTGCTCTTCTCCACATTTGCATGTTAACTCCACTTTGTGGCCCCATTTCTTAAGGTTGGCTCTACATCTCGTGGGGCTAGATGCAGCTCTCTAAGGTCATTAACTTGGCCTCGGCCCAAAACTTGAGACATAGGGTCACCCTAAGACTCAAATGACTTAAAGGCACACAACAACAATCCTGATTAACTTGAATCTCTCATCAGCCAAAAGCAGGCCCACACTTCCTATTGAAAGACTAGTAAGTATATGTTGATTCTTAATTTTAAATATTTCATTGTTTTTTCATGCTTTTTCGTAGTACAAATAAGATATATGCAGCATACATAGAAATTCGTTCATGTGTCTTTCAAACTGTATTCTGGCTCCCAACAGTCTGAGGGACCGTGAACTGGCCCTCAGCTTAAAAGGTTTGAGGACCCGTTTTAAAACAATTTGGTCCTTGAATGGATTACAGAAACTTGGCATTGTTTTTTCCACATTTCACAGATGAAACATCTGAATGTAGTCAAGAGATTAAAAGCTATCCATGAGGCAGAATATACATGAGTTAAGACAGTCTGCAGTAGCTTGCTTTTTCCTGAGCCTCTAGGAAGGGCAAGATTTTCCTGGGCCTCTGGAGCCCCATGTAATGCAGTTAAACTGCCCTATGAAACTGCATTATAAAGCAGTGTAGATGGGGCCTGAGAAGAGCTCTCCTTTTTCACTCCACAAGTTAATTGAGGGCTAAATATTTATTCTCACCCTACAAGTTAAGCTGAGGACAAAGCAGGAGGAGGTGAAAGAAACCAGGACATTGTAAAAGCAGCTGAAAAAGTGGGATGACAGAGGATTAATCAGTTCTATCCCTATTAGACCAGAACAGTTTGTAGCATATGCACTGTCAGTGGATAGTCTGCAAAAGACCACTCTTAGCTACATTTTGGGGAAGGTCCTACTCACATAGCTTCCTCTTATGGACTCTTGTAATCCAATAACCCAAATTCACCAGAAAACAGCAAACATACAAGCGACACACTTAGGATAAGCGTAAGATCTAAGTAGTATTACCAAAGCATTCTCCTCCCTGGAGATCCTAAAAATCTCATCCTCTTCCCATAGAACAATACTTTACCAAGTTGCTGCCTGTTCAAAAAGTGTACCAACTTTTGCCCTCATCTATCTGTCCTGTGTAGTGCGGCCTAAAAAAAAACATTCACTTTGATCGAGTCCAGAGCATAACACTTGTAAAATAAAAGAACTCCATGATATAAAGTGTGGTCTTATACAACTAATGGCAGTTGAGCCAAAATACACATGACACAACCCTGCAGTGAAACACTTTAACCATAACTGCAAATACGTTTATTTTAAAATAGAAACCAGAACACCAAAGAAAGTGCATGAGGCAAGATACACAAAATATCAGTGTACAAACACAGAGCTTCTACTGTTTCAGGTAGGAGTACAAACATATTCATAAAACCTTTCTCAGTCCAGAATAATGACATTTTGTTCAATTATTGTATTATTGCAGCAAGAATAGTTCTGGCAAAAAAATGGAAACAGAAAGAAGTAGCCACTAAGGAAGAATGGATAAACAAAATCATTGAAATTAAAGATATGGATAAATTGACCTTTGCACTAAAGGATTCATATGGAAGACCAATGAAAAAAACAGACTGGAAGTTATTTGAGGAATATCTATTAGTACATAAAGCTAGACAAGACACAAAAGAAGAGGAAGAAGCAATTTCAGAAGAAAGAAAGATGTAAAAAAAAATATGGAACCAGAGAGAAGAAGATTGAGGAAGTCAAAAAACCCTTTTCACAATCTTCACCCCTCTCCTCCCCCTCCCTCCCCAGATCCCCTTTTTCTTTCCCCAACCCAAGCAACCCCTTCCACAACCAACACTAGTCCTGGATCGGCCCCACTTTTACCCCCTCTTCCCGACCCCCCCTTCCCTATTCTACCCCACCTTCAATCCTAAAACCTCTTACTTTTAAATATACAATTGTAAGAAAACTTAATAAAAATTATTTTAAAAAATAAAACCTTTCTCAGTGACAGCTCAATAGAGATTTGTGTCATCTTCATCACTCTGAAGATCATTTGCCTTCTGCTTCTAGCATAGTTGAATAGAGGAAGGGTCCTCAATAGTTGCATCCAATGTTTACTTCTTGGATAACTTTGGTTCTTGGATAAGATACAAAAGCCAAATGTTCAAGCTCCTATTGCCTATTCTTTTTGAAATTGTGAAAGAAAAGAAAACCCAAGACTCAAATACTATGCTGTTGTATGGTGGAATTAGAATTTGAGTAAAGGTTATTTTCTCTGCTATATTCTACCAGTCCAAGTGCATTGTGTTTGCCTAGTGGAGCCACAAAGGATGAGCTGAGAAAGAAGAATTTTCATCTTATTTGTTTCCAAAAACAGAGACATTGTCAATCAAATATCTGACCAAAAAGTACTGGTCAAATATTTTTTGAATGTCCCTTTGTCCAGCTCAGGGGCAAAGGCATAGCTCACACCAAGCAGAAGAAAAAGAGTAGAGCAGGAAAAGAGTACTGAGAACCAAGCAACAGTGAGACCATATCCAAGCCCACAGCTGGGACAGGAATACAACTGCCTCTACCGATCTGGAGGCGGAAGTGAAGCTAGCTTCGTCTGGAAGAGCCGGAGCAATTTCCGGGCAGGTGAGTTTGTGTATTTATTGGAAGCCTTCAATGCTGAAATTAAAAACAAGTTGTTAAGTGATTCTAGTCCCTTGCCTGATGAAGACAACAGTATTTTTTAGTGTACCACATCCATGCTAAAGGTTTTGACCTGCAGGCCTTCACATCCCAAGCCCATCTGCCCTTTCAATTAAACTACATGAAGAAAGCATCCTTATGACTTGAACCACAACCCATCTCAATTCCTTGGTTACCTCTCTTCAGGAAGCCTGACAATGAAATGTTATCACACTATTTACCAAATTCCCTTTCAGTTTCCGAATGCCTTTTAGCTTCTGCAGTTAACTTCACCGGTTAATGCAAATCTAGCTATCTTGGGGGGGGGGGGGGGGGGGGGGGGGGGAGGGGGGGGTTGCAGGAATGAGTAATCTATTTTCATACATTTTGACACCTTAGTTAATACAATTTAGAATAGCCATGACCACCGCACCACATTACTATTCATAATCTTCCTAACTAAAGTAATTGGGGTGGGGGTGGGGGGAGCAAAGTTACGAGTCCAGTAGGCATAAACTGGAAAAAGCGTAAAGAATTGATTTTGTTATTGTGTTTGCTATTCTGTTCAGTTTTCCCCAGTGCAAAAGAAGAAACTGTTCCATGGCTTACCAAATTGTGCTGATAGTTGCTGAAGATACAGTGCAATGTCTTCCTTATAAACATGACACACCTTGATTATTTGATTGATTTCATCCAGCTGAGGACACATACATTTTCAAATGAGAAGCCAACAGAGACAGTTTGGTGAAAAAGCTTCAGTGGAGACACATTTTCCCCATTATAACTTGTGAATTTTGAATTCCGAGGGGTAGATTTCTCTCACTTCCTGTTGTCTCAGCCCCGTTCTAAACTATGAGTAATTTGTAAGTCAGATATTTGTAACTCAGGGACTGCCTATACTGCTATTTAACCTGGATGTTAATCCAATGTCTCTTCTAATAACTTCTAGAACTATTTTGGAAGTTCAGCAAACAGATGCTAGCCATCATCTTTATGCAATTTGAGCCTTAATTCTGAGAACTGTTTAACTCACAGCCACTGAATATCATTCAAGAAACCACAGATCCTGACTGGAAGTGATAGCTGTACACAATCTATTCATTTAGTGCTATCGACTCTCTAGGAATCCGTTAATTCCTTCAGTGTGAGTCTATGGGCATCATCCAGTGGAAGGTGACCAAATTCCTACAGAAGTGTGTTCTCCCAGGTTAAAAAAATACCGTCTTTTATTTGCTTTTTTTGTTTGTTTTTGTTTTTTTGGGGGGGGGGTTGGGGGGGGGTTAACACAAAGAGGCTTTCATTCACTTCTGCACCTAGGGATGTTACTCTGACCTATCTGGCACAATCATAACCAAGAGAAGACACGACGATGAGATTCACTTTGTACCATATTGCACAGAGACATAAAGGCTGATGATGCCTTCCATCTCTTCTCAAAAACCACCTATAGACTTAGGTCCCTTCCCCACAGTTGTAGAAAATCCACATTGAACTGGATTATATGGCAGTGTGACTCAGATAATCTGTTTTAATGCAGATATTGTGGATTATTTGCCTTGATATTCTGGTTTATATAGCTGCGTGGAATGGTCCTAAGGATGTGATCATTTCTGCAAACACCTTTTCATGTTTTCTGCAATATAAAAATATTTCAGGAGGTTCTTGTGCCATGCTGAGATCATCCAATCATTTGTTGTTGTTGTTTTAAAAAACTATCTTTGGTTTCAATAGTCTGAGAATAAATTGGAGCGAAGAGTCAGAGGTATAGAACACGACAGTCCAGGAAAGGGCAAACATTGACTTTGGACTGTTATTCATCCCATATCCCATAATGACTTCACATACTGGATGATGGTCTGATTACATTTTTAAAACACCCAATAATCAACAGTCTCTACAGCAAATAAAGAAGTAGAATATAATAAAACAAATGGTACAACCTGAAGATAGCAGCAGGAACAAACCAGTCTAAAAGCATAAAAGCACTGATGTTCCTAAATATCATGAAATACTAGCCAACTATTTAATCCTTTAGAATTATCTTCTCAACTTCCTAAACAAGATGCATTGTTGGTGAAGCAGTCGAAAGCTTTACTCCTAAATCAATTGCTTGTTCAGTGTGAATTTTAATAATAAAGGCTATTAGGATTTTTTTTCTTTTGCTTTCATTCAGAATTCCAAATTCCTCACTTACTGCCCCCCTTACAGACCTTTGCCTCTTGTAGGCAAACACTGAAAGTCTTTCAAGTGTGCAGCTCCTCTTCACTCATCCTGTTATGGCTTTTCTGGACTCAGTAAAAATTTCCTTATATGCTCCATCTTCCTTGTTTAAAGCTTACCTTGCCCATTTATTACTGGAGAGGCAGCTCCTTTGACAGAGGTCTAGAAATCACTTGCCCCATTAGAAGATGCTCTTTAGCAGCTAGAGCAGCAACCTAGCTGGAGGCAAGACTTTTTCTTCTCCCTGACTATAAAAATTCAAGATTCACCCTCACCACTCTCTCTATGTCATATAAGACATCTCCTTCACGATCCACTATTTTCTGGTAATCTGGTTTGGTTTGAAGCACATGAGCCTGGGATGTCCCAAGGTAGCTTGAAGGGTCCTCTGGTCCTTGCTTCAGTTCACACTGCTGCAGTTGCCTTAAGGACAAAAAGGTACATAGTCTATTGTAATAATTTGTTATGAAGAAAATGTAATAGTAACAATAATAATTCATTTAGATTGCAAGTCTCAGCAGTCCCCTCTAGCTAGGAATGATGGGATTTGCAATCCAATAAAATATGTTGGGGCTTATGCTGTTGCACCCAAGCTGCTTTAAATGTCTTTAGTGCTAACGTGTCTTAACTTTCTATCAGCTTGGGGGGGATGCTGGTTTGCCTTCCTGTTTGAGCAAGGAACCCCGAAGAATCAATGTTCACATTACTCCTTTAGAGAAATGGTAGCAATTTATTAATTGGTCTTGGGCCTATCTCCACCCAGGCACTATCTTGATTTCCCCGCAACAAAATCCATACTTAAAAGTAACTGGTTGTTCTTGAAGTCACTGCTAGTGGATGATTCTGTAGATGAAGGACACTTTCTCTTGTAAAGGGGCCTCTGGGGCACCCAATGCCCAAGGTGATCAGGCCGGAGGCTGAGAGAGCAGCTCTCTCTTAGCGAGGCCTGGCACCTTGCTGAAGGCGACAGAAACTCAACAGGTTGCCACGGACCAGCGGTATATCAGTATAGTTGAATGAGTTCCCAGAATAGTAGTGGTTACTGGCTTGAAAGGGCCTGTCCAAGCTTGGATCTAGCTGTGACCAACGATACACACCAAGATTCCCTAGTGGTAATTAATCTAAAATGGCTCCCTTTCCCTAGGCAAAAGCGCAAGCAAACTTACTGATACAAACCAGGAAGGGTTTTCTTAAGCTCCACCCTCATAAAGCTAACAGGAAAATGGCTACTCCCAAGCTGTGGGTGAGACAGCCTAACAAATGAGCTGGGATCTATACAGTTTCATCACAGGGCTAGGGCAATTCCACCCCCATTCTGTCCCAGTGATCGTAACAATGCAGACTTCCAGATATTGGTAGGCTGTAACTCCCAACATAACCAAATGCTGAGGAATGCTGGGAAGTGCAGTCCAGTAAATGGAGGACCAGGGAGTTTCTAAAAGCTGCATCCTATCATTCCCAAATAAAAGGTTGCATATATTGTTGGGACCACAACACTTAACTAATCAAGAGTGGGGCATTATTTGCATCTCTGTGAGGAACACAATTTCTTAGATATTACTCTTCTTAAATAATAAACACAATGAAATTTATACAAAAATGCACAGCAAAGAAGATATGCAAACATAGCTGGCAAATGTATTGATTTATAATTACTCATACAAACATGGAGTATAGACCACACACTGTCCATAAACAGATCCTTAAATGCAAACTTGCAATCTAGAACTTCATGAAAGGCAGGAACAGATGGATAGCTATGTTATAGCTATGCAACAAAAGTTGGAACCCCAGAAGCAGAAGGCAGAAGTGAGAATACAGTTTGGCTACACAGGCAACCAAAATACAGTATTTCACCCATTGCAATCGGGCTACAGTGAGTTCATGGCCAAGGAGATATTTCAAGGAAGACCTTTCTTAGCATACACTATTTTATACATGCACAGTTTTAACAGACCAGATCCAAGTATCAGTAGTCTTTAACCACAAATAGACTGGGGATAGGAGGATCATGCCCTACTTCCTTTTATTAACACAAATATATGCCAAATAAAACATTTAGAATTTAAATGGGATGTTGATAAATCATGGGATCTCTTTTTGGCATTACATTACACTGGCAAACACGCATTTTGTGACTCAAATGTTAGACCTGTTTTGGTTGTATTTGAACTGCTGATTCTAAAAATGACACCAATTTCCCCATATCAGCTCTAGTTTTTGTGATATAGAACATATGTTATATATCACTTTTCATCTGCTCACCCATAGAAAACCATGACAACCACATCTAAGAAACTAGAACAGATGTGGGCTATCCAATGCAATGTTCTGAATCAGCACACCAAATCACCCCAAAACAGGCCTAAAAATCAAGATACCAAGATTTTTTTTGTTGGGCTGTGTTATTATTGCTTTGCTGCTTGTACAAATCGCATATTCCCACAACTATTACTACTACTACCTCATTTAAAAAAAAATCTCAATGTTCTCCAGCATTCAAGTTTACACTGATTTGACACAAACCATGCTGAATATGCAGCTGTCTCCCAGCAAGCCAGGGTGAGAACCTCCTTGCCTCTTTCCCAGCTGCACAGTCAGAAGAAGGCCTAGAATGGTTTGGCCAAGGCACCACAACTGCTTCTTTGGAAAGATGAAATGATCAGGAACAGACCTAGCTTCTATAATTGATACGTTTTAAAATAGGGTCAGATAGATAGTATTCTAACCTGGCCACATCCTCAGCATTTTTCTGATAACTGTGAAGCACTTCATCCCAAGCATGACTTTCCTCAGACAACCTGTGAAAGACAGGAGACCAAAGGTTAGCTCCATATTAGAGTGCGTTAGTAATTCCAAGGCACTACTTTTGTTATCTTTTTGAGGAAGAGTGGAAACTGAGCTTCCACACAAGCTCTTAGTGGACAATTCTATGATCTAGCAATGCTCTTTCCAGATTTGCTCTGAGGCTTGTTTCTTCCCAATCCAACCACTCTGTATAAGATAGATGGGTAGACTTTGTTTTGACTAGCTTGGCTGTAGCCACAATTGTTCACAATTAATTACTAGTTTCCTACTGCCACATATCATGTTCCTGATACCTTAAGACTGAAAAGAGATCATACTTCTTCCTGATGGAAGTTAGTCTCTCTCTTTCTCTCTCTCTCTCTCTCTCTCACACACACACACACACACACACAGAAGGGGGATTGATTATAGGTTCTGCTATTGCAGTCATCATGTTATTGCTAACTGGAATGAACAACAGTTTATCAAGAAACAAACAAAAAAGGGGGGAGGTATCTGTTGTTGGTAATAGAAACCTTCTTCAAGCCTCCTATACTAGTTATTTGTTATGTATATAATTGACATTACTTACTATATTGTGTGTATATATTGGTATGCAGTTTTTCCCTTAACTCTGTGTTATTAGAGGTTGTGGGAGGGACTACAGACCATGTGACCCTGATCTTAGAATGTTCAGAGTGAGACTCCATTTAAGAATGCATTTGAATCAGAAGGCAGTTGGAGTCAGTTGAGTCAGTTAGAGCAGGAGTATAGTCAGTATGCTGCAGTGAGGTGTCAGAGTATAAGTCTGTTTGCATCAGAAGTACTGTACAGTACATTATAGTGCAGTTTGAAGTATTATTCAGTTAACATTAAACCAGTAAGAAATGTATCTATATGTTAAATACATGAAGATTGTAAGTAAATCAACTATGTTAACTTTTAACAAAGATTACTCATTTTTGGTCTCTTGAGAGCATGATTTGAAAGCAATATATCTTATGGGAGAGTAGATTATTACTTTAGGCAACTGAAAATAACACTTTTGAAGATCTGCTATATATTTTATGCATTGGCATATCTTTGTTCCTAAGAGTTCAGAGAGATAACCAGGTATATCAATCTAACAGCTGAGAAGCCTAAATTGCCTTGCATGAATAATAGTGGAGATTTACCACTAAGGAGAAGATTGACTCAAGCGAGTTTTTAACTCTTTTCGGGATGATCCTACTTTACAAAAAGGTTACAGTCTCTGATGAGGACATGCCTTTCCAAAAGGTTATAATTTTTCCAAATAGTATGGATGCCAATTAATTTCCAAAAGGGTCATGCTTCCAAAAGCCTGTGGAAATTCCTGGTTTTCCCAATATGTGTCTCAGATAGAGTCAGAATATTAAAACCTGTAGCATATTTACTGTTGCTACCTAGTGCATCTGTACCTGGCCACTACAGCATTGTTTGCACTAGCATTCCCTTCAGGACAAATAACATCAAAGCAGTGTTTTATGAACACTGTTTCGTGTACAATAAATACATATAAAAAATTAATGGAGCACAAACACTATGATAGAGCAGGACTAAACACAACTAATGGAACAAGAACTCCTAGTATTTATACTCCATTGGAAGCCATTAATAGAACTTCCATAATATTATTAAAGATGGCAGGCTTCAGCTACATCTTACCTGGCCATTTTCTCTTTTAAGACAGATACTGATGCCTCAAATGCAGGATCCGGCTTACTCCTAAAAAACAAAAAAACTCAAATGATGATGAAATTATGGCAGAAACTTACTTATACTGTAATTTCTAATTGGTCATATCCCATTTGTTCTCTAGCAAAGCAGCTCGCATAAGTCACATGCGCAGAAAGTGAAGAGGACCACATGTGCTCCCTTTAACAAAGTTACAAAACTGGGTACTGCTTGCAGACCATTGGCTGAAGCCAAGCTCAAAGGTCACAAGTTCAAATGGCACCTTCCTATTAGGAAGTGAAACAAGCTGTTCACCCACTTGTTAAGGAAAATTTTGTTTTGATCACGCACTGCTCTAGAAATGAAGTAATTAAAGGAAAATAGTCATTACGCTCTGTTATCTTCAAAGCATTTTTGCAGAGTTCCATCTAGCTGCAGTTTCCTTGTCCAGAATCTCAACTCTTCTGATAACTTGTTGACTGAAGAAAGATATAAAGAGAAATTGCAGGAAACACCATATAACAGACTACTTAATATCACTTATGGTAATTCATTTCTAATTGGATCCCAGGAAGCTGGGAAGTTTATTCAGAAACAGCAATAATATGGTCAGTAGTAGATGATAAATATCTCTTAAAGGTCAGTTTGCTATTATGGATTCTTTTTTTCCAGAAGGGATGCCACAAGGTCTGTTTCAGCAGAAGCATAAACAGAGCTATGACCACTTAAGTACTAGTCAATGAATTGTAGCAGAAGTTTTATAGATACTGCCCACTTCATAAGGTTTTGCTCTTTAAAATGCCACAGAACCATCTATTATTTGTAATTTGCTTCCAATGCATGCACCACAAAGACCTGGCAAGCAGAGAGCTGATTCCGTATGTCAGAAGTAAAATACACATGGCTCCAAAATCCCAGTACTGCTAGGAAAGACCTCCAGATGAGATCTTGAAGACTAATGGGCAATTTAGAGAAGACAATACAGAGCCAATAGATTGACACGTAAGGAAGCATCACTTACCTGACCATAATATGCCCTATTACTTCCCCAAGTTCACCAAACAAGAACCGAACTCTGGCTTCCAAAGTCATACTTTAATGCTTGCCTGTGTCTGAGCTTTCTACAATTACAGATAAACTCTTTAATTTACTTTGTTTGTTTAAAAAGGTGTGGTGATAGCAAAAGAAAAACAGAATCAACATTAATGGCAACATAACCCACTGGCCTGACTCAGTCCGGGAAGTTGTCAGCCTCTGCCTTCCCAGTTTCCCTGCACAAACAGATTCCAGCACAAGTGGACCTTTACTAAACTGATCTCCCATGTATATTTCAACAATGCCACAATTCTTTGCTGAAATAAATTGATAAGACTTACCATTTTGTTCAAAAGTTTCACTATTAAAGCTGTCAGTTTCTCTTAAGGAGCACTTGAGTTTGTGGGCAGCATACTGGGTGGGGGAGAAGAAAAAGGAAAGGTTCCCATTTGTGAGTAGCATTAAAAAGAAATGATCTTCAAGACCAAAAATTAGATAACGTTTTGCAAGAACTACGGGAAAGAAATGAAAGAAATGAAATAACACCAGAAAGAAGTTACTTCTGGCGTGAGAGGAAAATGCAGCTATTCAAAACAGTGGTAGATGCGAAGGTTCTAGAAAAAACATACAACTTGAGCCCACAAGCCTATAGTCTGCCCATCCCTGAAGTATACTACAGAACTTTGGACACAATCGCATATTGTTTTATAATTATCAAAGCACCCTTGAGAACAATGCCAGGCTGGTTCCAAAATTGCTTTATACTGTACAGTGGGGAATGGTATTCTGTTGTGAGTTCTTCCAAAAGGTCAGAATTGTATAAATTAAATTTAATATACTTGATCTTAATACCTGGAGTAGTAACTCCTCCTTCTTTTTCTGTCCTGTCTCTGCATTAAAGAACTGAAATTTATAGTAACCATATCACTGTTTTTTTCTACCGCCTTCTTGAAATTGCCCCCTCCAACTTTTTGATATCTGTCAAGACACAGGATTCCTAATCATATTTCATAGAGAACAGTCTCCACCTTCAATCATAATACACTTCCTTGTGGGCCTTCAGTTTCAAGAGAGGTAGAATGAGACGAGTGAGTGTGGAACAACTTAATAATAATGGCTCTAATCTCTTGCCATTCCCTGAAGCCATATCCTTGTCATCTTTACCACAGATCTTTTTGATCACTGAGTAAAATCTGGATGCATGGGGCACCTCCAACACATGGTCCATAAAGACACTTCCAGAGATTGGGGTCATACATTTCAGACCTGACTAACACTGCCTTGAAATCATCCAGAGTGATGGAGATATCCCACATCATGTTACAGAAAAACATGGTACCAATAGTCATGGCAACTTCCAAACATTCAACAATGCCAGCTAGGATACAAACAGCTTTCTGTAATGTATTGATATGTCCCTGCCTTATAGAGCCTGAAATGGAATTAGCTCATTGAACAAAGTTACAAAGCCCATTATTTATTTATTTATTTAAAACATTTCTATTCCGCCCTTCTCATCCCCCAGGGGACTCAGGGCGGAGGACAACATACATACAGCAAACATTCAATGCCGGGGCATAAAACCATAAATATATACAAACATTAAAATCATTTATATTCACATTAAAAGTTGCTTTAAAACCATCTCAGGACACCATTTTGCCTCACTGCACTGCCCCAAAGCCAGGTCTTCACCATCCTTCTGAAGGACAGGAGGAAAGGGGCTGATCTGATATTGCCAGGAAGGGAGTTCCATAATTGGTGGGAAATAACTGAGAAGGCCCTGTCTCTCGTCCCCGGCAAGCACACCTGTGATGGTGGCAGGACTGAGAGCAGGGCTTCCCCAGATCTTAATTTCCACAGTGGTTCGTAAAGGGAGATATATTCAGACAGGTAAACTGGGCCTGGGCCGTTTAGGGCTTTATAGGCCAAAGACAGCACTTTGATTGTGCCCGTAGCAAATAGGCAGCCAGTGGAGCTGGTGCAACAGAGAAGTTGTACACTCCCTGAGAGGCCTTCCTGTTAGCAATCTGGCTGCCCTTCGTTGGACCATTTGAAGCTTCTGGACAGTCTTCAAAGGAAACCCCATGTAAAGCGTGTTGCAGTAGTCTATCCTGGATGTAACAACAATGTGGACCACCATGCACATAAATTGCCATCTTACACTAATTAAGAAGCCATGATAGAAGCAATCTGGCATCATTTGTTTACTACTGGAACCATAGATAGAATTTACACTATAATAACACCATGAAACAAAAAAATGGGATAGAGTGAAGAATGAATGAGCATTTTTTTTAAAAAAATACTGCTTTTTCTATCATTCTTTTATCAAATACTTGGGGAGGAAGCAAAATACAAGAGTCATAAAAAAAACAACTGCAAATAGTGTTAAGCTGTGGAGATGGCATAAAACATGTTGCAAAGCACAACCAATAAGGAGCAGAAATTAGAAAGCCTCTTCCTAGCCCATTGGTCTTACCTGAAAACTGGAAAGGAGCAGAGCTGCCATTCTCTCAGTCTCTGGCAAGTCCAAGCTGATGGCTTTACTCAGCTCTGAAAGGTAAGCACAATGTCACTTAAAATCTAATGACACTAACAGGCATTTTCAGATGATAAGATAGTTTCCTAACCACAGAATACCTGGCTATTGAATTCCAAAGTAGCACAAGTTACCTGTCAAACACTACCTTTTAAAGGTTACATTTCAAAGATAATGTATCAGGTGAGAATGAGTTGGGGGGGGGTGATGTAGCAAATACAGGTAGAGTATCACTCAGAATGCTAGCGACTGGAAGTATTTTAGATCTTGGAAAACTAGTATTTGCATATATGTACACAATGAAATAGCTTGGAAATGGGATGCATGTCTAAACACAAAATTCATTGATGTTTCATGTATACTTAATTTACATAGGTTGCAGGTAATTCTGTACTCAATATTCTTGGGTGGCAATAGGAGCACTCCAGTGCCATTGGTTTTTGCCGTTCAGAATAGAATTCGCAGGATCCAAGATTCTTCTTCAGGTGAGCCGCTAACCGCCTTTCCCATTCTCCAACAGTTTATTTCGTCCTGCCAAACCAACAGGCATGTTTGCCCTTCTCTGACCAACTTACAAGGCAAGAGTGTTAGTAAGGGTATGAAATAAGGACATAAAGAATAATACAATTTAGTAAGTCAAAGAAATTTTTCAAAAGGAGCTGAAAATTGACAGAAACAAGCTCCTGGTCTGAAAAGCTTAAAACAGTAGGCAAGGACAACAGAAAGTTGAAAGAGGGGACTAGACAGACAAGGAGTCCCTGCAAAGATGACAAAGTGGAGAAAAACAGTACTGTGGCAACAGTATTATCTCTGATAACCATTATGGAAACTGCAGCTCTAAGACAATGGCTTAAAAATGGAGAACATCACAGAAGCAATGATATCTCTTTTGGTAAGTTGAAAATGCCATTTTCAAAACCTTATTTCCCCTTGGTTATTTATCCTTACTAATACCCTCATCATATAAGCTTGTCAGGGTAGGGCAAACATGAGTGATTGGTTAGGTAGGATAGAATAAACTTTTGGAGAAGGGGAAAGGGGTTTAGCGACTCAAACGAAAAAAAGTAAGACTTCAATCCGCCCAATTCTAATTGGAAGCTGGGGGTTAAACCCAAGCACAGTGGATTGCCCCTCCTGCCACCCCAGAATGAACCTTCACGGTAAGTCCAATTTCTCATATTAATAACTTTGTGCATGAAACAGTTTGTGTACCTTGAACCTGCAGAAAGCAAAGGAGTCACTATCGCAGCCACCCATGTGGACAATTTGGGAGTATTTTGGAGTTCCAGATAAGGGATGTTTAAGCTGCAATATGTTTGTTATTGTAAAGAGCGTTTTCAGAGACATTTAAAGCTAGTGTTTTGTTGTGGGTTTTTTTCGTTTTATGGTATTCTCAACTCTAAAGATTTCAGTTTTGCATATTCCTTTTCCCCCTTATCTGATGTTATTTCTCACTTTGGCTTTTTCCCTCTTTCCTTCCAATTTCTTTTGAATATTACTTCAGTCCCTCGAGTATTTTTAAAATGCACCTTTTATAAGGAAGGGGGAATCTCTTATACATTTTGAATGTTTGTTCTCTAGAGGAAGGGCATACTTCTGACTCTTTTCTCCCATCTTTCAGATAGAAGAGGGGGAAAATCTTCATCATTTTATTATCTGGGATCTTTAAGAACTAGAATACCCTCATAGGAAGTAAAGAATGATCAGTCCTGAAGCAGTGGTTCTAAACCTGTGGGTCCCCAGGTGTTTTGGCCTACAACTCCCAGAAATACCACCCTGTTTACCAGCTATTAGGATTTCTGGGAGCTGAAGGCCAAAACATCTGGAGACCCACAGGTTGGGAACCACTGCCCTGAAGGGAACAAAAAGTAATTTGCTGTGAGTTTTTTAGGCTGCGTGGCCATGTTCCCGAAACATTCTCTCCTGTATTTGTGCTTGGTATCTTCAGAGAACCTCTGAAGATGCTAGCCACAGATGAAGGAGAAACATCAAGAGAGAATGCTATGGAAACATCAGGTGCGAATGAGTGGCGGGGGGTGGGTGGGTTGATACATCCCAAAACACACACAGCAGCCCAGTGATTCTGCCTGCAACAAAGAGCTATTTGTTGACGCCCACAGTTTTCAGCTGGAAGCATTACAGTATGAATACGAAGGATATGCAAATTCCATTGTGACTTTCTCCCCCAGACAGTCTGCAGGAACAAGCCTTAAAGCTCAAGAATTGGTAAGAAGGACATTATAGCCCACACTTTAGCACAGGCCAGGTGCAATGCTATCTTCCTCAGGCCCTTTCAGTTTTGAATTACGATTCCACTTTGAAATGTTACAGCAACATACTACGAATCCGTAGATTTGTCGTTTAGAGGGGAGCCTTTGATATTCAGAACCATTCTCTGAGAATACCATTTGTGCTATGCTTTGTAACATGAAATTATAAGGAATATAAGGAGGGGAGAAGGGAAATTATTGAAAAGAGGAGTAGAAAAAGCATGTTCTGAAGTAGGCTCCCAATTCCCAAACCATATTGAGTATTAGAGTTGCACTCGGCCTTTGAGAAATCAAGATGTAGCTGAGCAACAAATTTAATTTTCTCAAGAGAAAGCAACCTCCTTCAATGGAAGTCTCAAGCCTAGTTCTAGGGCCACAACAGTTTGTGGGCTTCTGCAACTACTGCATTCCCAGAAAGCCCTAGCTTGGCGATGAATCCATGTTGGAAATATCTACCAGGGACATCCAAATGAAGAGGAGGCAATGACTTTCGTCGATCCGTGCCCAGCTTCAGACTGTACCGACTCAAGGAACGTCGTGCCTCGGGTCGACTAGGCAACTGCCCAAAGGTTGCATTAAATGAGGTGGAATCATTCCCTGTGTCAGAACCAGGAGTCTGTGGAGGTGCTTTTGTTGGGTCAGGGCCATGGAAATCCCCATTCTTCAGAGAAGGGCTTAGATGCCCATCTTCCTTGCCAGTCTCTGCTAACAGTCCAGAGTGACTGGCTCTTGTCTCAACCTGGAGACCACAGCTGAAATTAGCAGGGTTTTCAGGTTTGTCAAAACATTCAGTCTCCATTTTCTCTTGGTAAAGCCCGTTTCCTAGAAGGAAGAGAGTAGGGAGAAACACTACACATCAAAACCAATTTATTGCAAAAGAGAAAATCAGTAGAGGCACAGTGACAACTCAAGAGAAATGAGTGTTGGATTTAACTTGTGTACATAGCTATTTCTTGTTCCCAGCCAGAGTCTGCTTGGATCCATGCTAGAGACTTAGCATCTTGCTTACTTAGGCATCTTGAAATAAATGTCCACTCCTTCAATAATGAAGGGATAGAAATTAGCCAGCGATGAGGGATGCTCTGAACTACAGTCCAACAACCCAAAACAATCTACCTTTGAAGCTGTGAGGAGCCAGTGGGCAACTCACAAAATAATACAATGCAGAAACCACCGGAGACCTCCAAAATGTATTAGATGATAACCCCCATCACTGTTAGCAGGTGATTGGTCATGCTAGGTGGGAATGATAGTATTTACAACCTGTTACGCAAAGATGAACCAATCAGAACAATATACAAAACTTAAAAAATGTAAAAAATAAAAAAAAAACCAAAATCATGCAACCAGAAGCAACACACAATAGACTTAGAGCTCAGATTCTAGCAGGACAAAAGCATTTTTAAAGTATCCCAAAGAGAATCTGCCATAAGGGATTAAAAATACCAGTAAGAGGAGTCCTACAAAGGCTGCCATTCTGTTTGTTCATTACTTTTAATTCCAAAACATCCAAGTTTGAAAGCTAAAAATCTCTATAATAAAGGCCCTTCAACTAAGAAATGACAGAAAACAATGGTTGTGAGCCAAAGCCCAACAAATCCAAGACTAATAAACTATACAAGGCTTGTGTTTCTTCAATAAGAAATTTAACTCAAATTCAAGGACAGAGAGATCATAAATAGCTCTACCATAGATATAGATTATTCAGGTGGGAAACATCAAGTAGGTAGATAGCTCCTAGAGTCTTCCTTGATTAGCAAAAGAAGAATTATGCAAAGAACACTTACATGTAAATTACTTAAATTTGCATATTTTAGAGAGTTCAGGACATTAGCTTTTCTTCTGTTTATAAAAAAATAACCAAAAAATATCAAAGCATAAACCCTCCTAGTGGGGGCAGTACAGCATCAATGAATGCATTGCTCATAAAAACAGTCCTCAATGCCTTCCTAATTTTTTACCCTGTGCTTTAATGGAGGCTTTCCCATCTTCAAAGCAAGGCTGGTTTCCTGGAGAGGTGTTCTAAAACAGAAAATGAGTATTTCTTGTTAAACATTATAGATATCATCCAATCTTTTTCCACCTCATAGGGGAGATAAATCTGACAATAAAAAGGAATGATCTCAGTGCTTCTGCCTTGAGAGAGTCACAAGGTGACTTTCTTTACCTGCCAAAGAACATGCTTCCAATTTGATAGAACTCGGAAAAGTTTGGCAATAAAGTACTTTCACACATTTATTTCCTCCTCCAACCAAGCATCCCATTCAGCCTTGCATTCCCCATGAAACTACTTGGCAGATCAGTTACGGCTTGCTTCCATATACAACATACAGAGAAACAAGTCCTCCCAAGTTCAATGAGGCCATAAAGAATTACAGTCTGAGATTGCTATGTAAATTGCTTTTTGAAATAGGCAAGTGATAGAGGATGGTCAAAAATGAACTGTGAAAACAACTGAGAGTTGGTTAGTCATCATGACATCAAATGTTGTTTCTATCTCAGTATTAATTTTAAAAATTCTACATTTTTCTATGAAACTACACTCCTGGTGTGGTTTAGAATAGCACACATGAAACAGAAATCAAACACTTTAAAGTTGTTCCATACAGAAGAAAAAGAAATAAAAGCCAACCTCCACAGTACCCAGAAAATGGAATAATGAGCAATGAAGTCACAAACTTGGGATTACTGATTCCACAAAATGCACATGTAGCAGACATGGTCAATCTTCAAGCCTCTGCAGTTACATTTAGTCAAACCTGTCAAGGAAGTGGTCTTAAGTCTAATTCTGATTTGGATAAGCAAAAGTTTTAAAATGTTAAACAGTGTAGAGTGACTGGACCCCATTTAAAAGAGCACTTCCAGGATAAGGAACTGTTTGTGATAAGAAAAGGCATAGTCCAGAAGGCTTGGAGGAGCCAAAGACTGGGAGTCACATTTTGCTGGTCATGCAAACATTTTTTCTACTAGCATCAGGTGGGCAGGGTATGTTCCTATCTCTATGTGCAGATTCAATACTTTTACTAATACAGGCGGCCCCCAAGTTACAAATATCAGGCTTACAAATGACTCATAATTAAGAACGGGGGTGAGACAACAGGAAGTGAGAGGAATCTACCCCTCAGAGGGGAAATTCACTCCTGGAAGAGTTTTCATGGGGAAAGGGTGGCTCCAATGAAGCTTTATCGCCAATCCTCATTTTCACAACCAGCCAAATTTTTCAAATTTCACTTCACTGCAGTCTTCAGGAGATCTGAGAGGCAGAGGAGGAAATACGGTAATAGGCTACAAGGGAAGGCCAGACAGGTAAAAGAGGTGTGTTTTAAGTCCACAAATCCTAATGAATGGATTTTCTTCTACCATACTTGTACAGTGTTGCCCTTAATGCTTTCATACAGTCGCTGGATATGGCAGGGACGTGGCCACTGCCATTTTTGAGCCCCCCCCCCCCCCCAAATATGCAGCAACCACAGATTCTCCAATCCAGATTGGAAGTTTCAGCACCCGCTCTATGACGACTCCCGGCGTATAAGACTACTCCCACATATAAGACGACTCCCATGCATAAGGCTACCCCAACATATAAGACTCCCGCATATAAGACGACCCCTGACTTTTGAGAAGTAGTCTTATATGCCAGAGTATACAGTAGTATCTATATATATGGCTGGAGTTACACTTTAAAATGGACCTGTTCTGACTTACAAATGCAGCTTAAAAACGAACCTACTTGGGGCCTGCCTGTAATTTATATACTCGCTGCAATGCAAATGACTGCCATCATTTTTTCCTTGAAAATATTGTTAAGCTACATTTTTATTACCTGCTGGTGCATGTTCTTTAGAAGGATGTCTTTTGCACTGAAAAAATATGATACAAATGGTTTAGTGAAACTTTGAACCTACACATCTTTCAAGTCAACATCTCATGCACTGCACTCTTAATTCCCCTTCCATCCCCATACATTTCTCCGACCCTTCTCTTTCATTAAATTCTGTTCCCTTAACAAGATCTTTCCTACTTTTTATGTCTGTGCTTTCTCTTCCACGCTCACACCAGAAGTCAAATTTCCATAGAAGAGAAAAATCAATTTGGTGACAACTTACCGTACTTTGTTATTCTGCCTTAAACAGTGGTCCAAGAGGCAGAAACCAGCATATGCACTTTTTATTAGTGTACACATTTTGTAAATTCTTTTTATTTTATTTTAGGTTTCTATGTACGGTTTAGTTTTAGGGGTTTTTTTAAGAAAAAGAATACTAAAACTAAACTAAAAATAATACAATATAAATATGGACTACTATATTTTACCGAGATTTATGATCCCATTCTTTATCCATAATACCCAAACAAAACAACCTTGGTGACATTGTAAAAACAACATGTACTTATCAAACAAATAACTTTTGGCTTTTCTATAAGTTTTCCTCTTATGGAAAAAAGAGACCTCCTTATATGGACAAGCCCAGTATTGATTTGTAACATTCTTAAAAATGTTCAGCAGCTTACCTGGGAGTTAAATACTATCCATTTGAACGTTATTTTCAGTCCACCTTATCATATGTTGCCCAGCCCTGCTTTGTAAACGCAACACATAACTTTGAATTTGACTCTCTTTTCCTGCATGGCAGGGGATTGGTCTGGGTGACCTTTGTGATCTCTTCCAACTCTATGATCCTATGAATACTGAACATTTTCATTACAGCTTAAGCCTCTCTTGTCTAGAAAACTGAAAATCTCAAAAAAAAAAAACATTTTGCCACCAGGGCAAGATGTGTTCAAGGTGGCAGAAGGGCTTCTGTTTGTTCACCTCCCAAATCCCCAGTCTCTCCCTCGAAACCCATGCACAACACAGGTAGCAAACAAACAAGGAGAGAGACTTGAGGATCGGAAAGATGAAAGAGTAGAAGTGCCACAGCCTCTGTCTTAAAGGCAGAAGAGGACGCTGGGAGCAAAGTTTCAGTTTCCCACCATTTCTCTCTAGCCTCACATCTCTTACACAACACAAGTAATGAACAAGAGACACAAGGTCGGTAAAAGAAGATAGCATGGGCACAAAGAGCAATTAAATGGCATATGTGCAGCGCCATTACGCATATGAGAATATAGGTATTCCAAAATTTAAAATTCGAAATGCAAAACATTTTTGGTCACAAGCATTTCAGATAAGGGAGGCTCAACTTGTAATTGGGAAGCAGACAATGGGGGGATGGTGGGAGGGACTGCTCATAAAGCTGAGATGCAAAACAGTGCTGCTCTGCTGATAACACACAAAGGACAGCCCCACGTGACTGTGGCTCACGACCAAAGGATCATGTGCATCAATGGTTCTTCTTCTTCAAACCCAGCCATGAGTGCAGAACAGCAAAAGAGGCAAATATGCCAACCTCTTTGCACCTGAAGGGTATCAGACACTGTTGAAACAAGTAATTATAAGGTTCAGGATTTATTTAAGATAGTCCTTCTATCTTTGCTAGCAATATTCTGAGCAGTGGCTTAGATGCTACTCTAATCTCCTATAAACTAACATCACTTGTAACTGATCTTAATGCCCACCAAAGCATTGGAGTACAGAAATTATTATTATTAAACAAGAGGCTTTTTAGGTATTATTGTTTACTGTGTGCTAATATACAACATATAGTTCAAATTATACTTGATAAGCCTGAAAACGCAGTATAGAAAACAAAGACAGAAACACACAGAACATAATGTCTCTGGAGCAGAACACAGTACCATTCTGAACTATTTTACCTCTCTCATAGTGTAAGTGAATCTGATATTTTTTCCAGAGAAAAAACTGTATGGTGGGTTTTATCTGACCTTTTATTGCATCAGTAGCTAAAGTACAAAACTGTTAAACCACATTCAAAGATACGATTTTGTATTACTAGTAACAAATAATACATAATAAACAGGCCTTCTGCAACAAGGTACTATAAGTTTCATGTCTTCATATTTAATGCTTTTACTAGATTTTATATTCTGGAGGTTAGACCTCTCATTCTGTTACCTCTTAACAAGGTTTGTCATATTTTGTTTAATTAGCAAAATGGGATGATAAGGTAAATCCTGATGTCCAGTGTCTGTGATACACTCTGAAGATTGGCATACTTTTTTCTGCAAATAAATATAGGTTAGGGGGGGAAAGCATACCTTATCTTTCAGACCTCATACTTTATCTCACAAACCCAGTGTATGCAAGCTGGTGGACCCCTCCACTAAAAGGGTTAATCTGACTTTCACAGCGGTGTTCTTTGGCTCTGGGGAATATGTAACAAAATTTGGGAAAAAAATCTCTTCCTGCTTTGAATATGTTATTTCTTGTTTAATTATGCAGTATTTACTTTCAAAGTAGTTGTTATACTTCAGAAACTTCGTTTTTGTGACTGCCATAAACTATGTGGAATTGGTGGAGATTCCATGAGATATTCATTGAAAAACTATAGCAAAATGTGCTGTTTTTGCAGCCTAATAAACATTTTTCCATGTTTTTATTGTAGAACCAATTAGGAAATGACATTTATAACCCAAGAACAAAAATTGTGTTGCATTGTGTAATCAATAACCAATGGCCTCATTTGGATGCAGGGCAATTTGGATCTCTGCATGCTTCCTAATTCCTCACTAGAGCAGGCTGAGAGGAGACACAGTAGCCATATGTAAAAATTGAAAAAATGTCACCTTGGGGAAGGAACAAGCTTGTTTTCTGCTCCTCCAGAGATTAAGACCCAATGGAGTAACGGGTTCAAATAGCAGGAAAGCATTAGAAAGAATTTCCTGATAGTAAAAGCTGTTGGGTGGTGCAATATGCTTCCTCAGAACTTGGTGGAGGTTTTTAGGCAGAGTCTGGATGGCCATCTGTTGAAGGTGATTTGATTCTGTGCTCCTGCATGGCAAAGAGAGTTGGACTGGAGTGCTCCAGTGGCCTCTTCTGACTCTAGGACAGTGGTTCTCAACCTGGGGTCCCCAGATGTTTTTGGCCTACAACTTCAAGAAATCCCAGCTAGTTTACCAGCTGTTAAGATTTCTGGGAGTTGAAGGCCAAAAACCTCTGGGGACCCACTGCCCTAGGACTCCTTGGCCCCTCCCACAGCTGAATAAAATCCCCCTCTATCTGCTTTGAACTGGGATATATGACAGTGTGGGCTCAGATAACTCAGTTCAAAGCAGATCTTGTGGGATTTTCTGCCTTGATATTCTGGGATATAGGGCTGAGTGTAAGGGCCCCTTGATTCTAAGTTTGAAAAAAAAGAAGGAAGGCACCTTAAAGACCAAGATTTCTTTTTTCATGCTGAATAACAAAGTCAGGAGGTTGGACTGGATGGCCTTTGGGGTCTCTTCTTAGGCCAAGGGTCTGTAGCGCCGCAATCCTAGCAAGGCGCTCTGCCGTTGATACAACCCATTCTCTGTTTTCTGTCAGGAAGCCTGATGCCAGGGTCACTGCGGAACCTCTTTCTTTCTAGATCATGGGGGAGAAAGGGGGGCAAAGCGACCTCAAAACACACAGCCACCCCCAGTTTTTCCACTTCCCTCCAGAAAGAAGACAGAGAACATCCCTGCTTAACACGGAGCGCATCTACACTATGGGGTTAATGCCGTTTGGACACCGCCTTGAGCGCCATGGCTCAATGCTACAAATCCTGGAAGTTGTGACAAACTCTTGAGCCTTCTCTGCCTCACCAAACTACACCTTTTATTATTCCATACAGCAGTTAAAGCGGTGTCAAACTGCGTTAATTCTACAGTTTAGCTGCACCCATGGTTGCCACTCGCCTGGAAAGCGACGCTCCCTCCTAAGCGGGCTGCTCGGTCAACAAGGCCCCGCCGAGTCCCCTCACCTCTGGCTTCCCTCCTCGTCCGCTTCCATTTCTTCTTCTTCGTCGCCGCCGCCTCAGACGAAAAATCAAACTAGCCCGCCAAGGCGCATGCGCACTAAGAGCACACCAGCCCTTGGCCCCATCGCCTTCTGGGAATCCTTTCTCAAGGCTTTGTTTACAACTCTTGCGCATGCGTGGTCTCCTCCCCCCCCCTCTCTCAGCAGAGCCAGTGGCCCAGAGGTACAGCCGCTTTGTTTGCGTTCAGAGTTAGGGTTCGGGTACGCCTAAAAGAGGAAAGGGAATTTCGTGCACCCATCACTTCCGGATTCCGTTCGCAAGTCCTCAGAAGTGCAGGAAATAAAGGAAATGTAGGGAACTGTGGGGTAACCAGCCCCGAACAAAGGGTTAGGGTAAAAGTCATGCTTGAATTTATTTGCAAAGTCGACTGCTTGGTCCTTTGAACCTTAAATAACTTGTCTGCATAGACAAGCGACTCCTCGCAGGAAACAATGGAGAACTCCAATGGAGGCATAATAGAAACGTGCCATTCTTTGTCCTGGACATGCCACAGATACAGAAACTTCACTTGCCTAGTTTCCAACCTCTGAGGATGCCTGCTATAAATGTGGGCGAAAGGTCAGAAGAGAATGCTTCTGGAACATGGCCACATACAAAAGCAGATTGCCCGTTCTTTTTCCCCACTGCAGTTGTGTTCAAATGCAACAAAAAAAGGATTTGTCAGATCATAAATAAAGCACGTCTTTGCCACCAGTCCCTCACATCCATCTTGCAGGCTCATGGGACTTGCTCAGAAGAAAACCATACACCTGCCTTGTAGTGTTGTCCAGGGCCAATGCTGCATGATAGAAAAGGGCAGGGCTTTTCTATGTATTTACAGCTAAGCAGAGTCATGAGGGAGGGCAACAGAGCAATCAAATTGTCTTGTATTTTCCCACCTTCTTCTCTGTCCAAACTCAGCACAGAATAGCAAGCAAAAGGCTTCTGCTCCATAAACAAGAAGAGTGCATGATAGACAAGACTGTTCATTTGTTCTGAAACAAAAACAAAACCCTATACTTTGGATATAGGCTCCAACCTGAGCTGATTTTTTCCATCTTTTCTCTTCCCCTTTCATAATTTATATATATTAAAGTAATTGTAGGTAGGTTGGTTTGTACCACAAAGGCACCTACGTAGCTTGATGGAATTTGGACCAAACCTTCATTCTCCAACTTAAAAAATTGAGAGATTTGAAATTTAAAAAAAATCCCACACTTTGGGATTCTCTGAAGAGAAAAGGGAAGGAAGTGGATTGGCCCTGAGTAGGTGAGGTGGTCCTCTATCATGTGACTGGGAAATAAAGGGAATGAAGCAGATGGGCTGTCTGTAAGACGGGGAGGAAGGAGAAAAAGAAAGGATGGGAAGAAGGAAAAAAGGGGGAAGGGAAATGCAAAGGGGAAAGGGAAGGAAAAAGAAAGTGAATGAAAAATAGAAGAGAAGGGGGAGGTAAGGAAAGAGAGAAAGGGAAGGAGGGGGAGAGGAAGAGAAAGGGACATTTCTATAGTGTAACTCCAGCCAATTGTTTTAAAGTTAATAGCAATGGAAAGGGTTAACACCTTTCCCATTGGTTTGCTGTCTGTACCTATTCAAAAGACTTCATCTCACTATCTGTCCCTATGACAAGTGGATTTTGAAAATTTTGGGATGTTGTGAAAACAAGGATTGGTGATAAAGCTATAGTAGAGACATCTTTTTCCCATGATAATTCTTACAGGAGTGAATTTCCATTCCTATGGGGTAGATTTTCTCTCACTTCCTGTTGATTCACTCACATTTCTAACTAGGAGTTGGACATAAGTTTAATATTTGTCACCCAGGGCCTGCCTGTATGTACAAGTACTAACACTCTGACAGGGCACATCATTTGTTTATAACAGGGATGTAACTACCATTCCTCACCATAAGCTAGTATAGCTAAGGTCGACTACAGACTTGTGGTCCACAGTTGATCTCCTGGGTTTACAGAATTAGACAGAAAACCAATACACACTTACCTTGGAGTAAATCCCACTGAATTCAACTGGACTTACTTCTGAATTACTACTACTACAGGCAATCACTTGTGGCTGAGTATGATTGTCTTCCAAGGGTAGAGTCTTGGTGGTAAATCCATAAGTGACTGTGGAGACCTATTCCGGATCCACATTATCTTTCACGTTGAGGACATAGATTTCCAGACAAGAGGTAACCTTCTCCGTTTTGCCCTCTATTTGTGCCTCCTTAATATTCATGCCTCCTCACTTCTGAATAGACATGCATACAATCAAATTTCTTTCTTTACACATCATGCTGCCAAGAGACAGCACCTGACATACATGAAGGAAGGCTTGGAAAAAGGCAAAAAAGGGAAAAAAGACTTTGGAAGTTTATTCTTTGATAAAATTTAAACTGAAACTGATGGACTTTGCTATTAACATTTCCTAAATGCACGAAAGTCTATTCACAGGGAAGTCTGTGTTTTCTCTAAGACATTAAATTAGAGCTACATGAATGACACAGAAGATGAAGTTTCTATTCAAGAGCAAAGTCCAACAATCATTTTGGTAAAGCAATGGTGTTTTCTTGTTAATGAGTGTAAAGAAAAGGTCTTCCTATACAAAATTACAATACAGAGAACGCATACAATTACAATACAAGAGGGGCTATTTGTTAATAACTAGCATCTAGAACAGAATTTTTATAATAAAACACATAGAAATTAAAATTAGTTTCATTTTTTTAAACTGGGAAAATTGAGTTCATTTGGAGAAACACTTTCAGACTCTTACGCATAAAAGTGGCATTTCTTTTTTTTCTTTTTTGTAAAAAGGAATTTGGTTTGGTAAATGAAGCCAGTTCCTTTATAACCCAAAGGGCACAAGCCAGAAGAACTCAAGCACATCATGCCGAGAGGTAGAGAGGTGTCCATATATAATCACAATCTTCTATTGGTTTTCTTTTTTTATTTTTGTCTGAGGTAATTAGCTGTGTGTGTCAAGTTGTAGAATCAAAAGTATTGGCAAAAAGAGCAACATTGACAAGTAACACTAACGACCTCTTTCCTCTCCTCAACAGGTCCTAAAAATTTAATTAGATGCATCTGAATTAATGCTTCCGGGATCTCCGGCAGGTGAAGTGATTGATGAAGGGGTTGTAGCGTCCTGCCAGCTGCCATTAGCCTGAAGAGGGAATAAATGCATTTGTTGTTAAGTCCACAAGGTGCTACTTGCATCCTAAACCATTCTGAGTACGATTTCCCATATCACTACAGGAGGGCATTATGCCATAGGCAAGACACGTACTTTGTTCCAGAAGACTTAGCTTCAGAGCAAAAGTCTTGACACTGCAGTTCACTTTCTGAGACATTCAGAAGGCAAAGTATGGTGTGAATGCTGCTTCCGCTGCATTTATTTCATAGCTTCTCCTCTTTTCCTAAATGGGACTCCTTTCCTCTTGCCCAAATTCTCCAGCTAATATGTCTAAATGGATGTTTATTGGCTATAACTGTCATTTATCAAAAAGAATTCAGATCACATGGAGGAATAATGTATGCAGTGAAGGTCACTCACACATACATTTCAGTTCCCAAATGCAGATAAGGGATAGTCACCATCCATAGCCAGTTTGTGGATTTCTGTGTAGGCTAGTTGTGTGCATGCTTCCTCATTCGCTTCCTCTCTTTCCTGTTGTCTCTTGCTCCAACTGGCAGTTCTCTCCTCCAATGGGAGGGGACTAGAAGGTGCTCTCTCCTTCTAATTCACTTGCTCAATTTGGGTAGGTTGGTAAGAGTATTACATTCTGACCATTCCAAAGCACTAATGGTTCTGGTTTTCACAGTAATGGAGGGATTTTCTTAGTCTAAAATAAAGAGGGGAAGGTAGTCCCCTAAATGACAAAGACTGGAAACAGGCCACCTATTTCACACTCTTTGGAACAGCAACACCACAGTTAATGCCGCAGTAGAGCATTAAATTTAATTGCCTCTGCAGAGGTGTTTACATCAACCTCCACTGCCATTTCTGATTTCTGCAGTTCAAGACACCTCCTTTCAAATCAGAAGCTCCTTACATCAATGCGCTGTGTCGAATAGAGAGGGTTTCCCACAATGCTGTCATATCTTCCTGCCTGGTGTATGACATGGTGTAAGGAATCCATCTGCAACAATACAACCAATGTGGCAAAAGGGAAAGAGGAGAAAATTTCAGTTACACAGTTATGTCAGTCACTGACCAAAATCCACTATCCTTACTCTCTTTTATGCACCCTCCAATGAAACTATTGTGCTGAGCTGGACTAACAGTTGCAAGCTAAAATCGCATTTGTAATCTCTCTTTACAGCCACATTCTACAGCAGACTACATCTCCCTAGCACTGAGACACAATTGTGTGTTATGCTCAAAGAGTAAAGACTGTCATCTGATTGGCAAGGGTTGCAAAAAAAGATGACGATGAATGGACCTCTTGGCCCAATTGTTTGGAGAAAGGAAACATAAATGGCCCCACCCACTGCTTCAGAACACGTGGTGCAGAACACCTGCATTGCATGAAGGCTCCCTCTCACTATGGAATCTGGGACACCTGGATCTGATTCAGGAATAGCAATAAACTATGGCTGTGTGACCCATTTTAAGCATAGCAGTAAGACTGCAATGTGCATTAGTAGTTAAACCTGATAACATAGGTGTCTCTTCCCAGCTACATAGCCTCACTTCTGCTCCAATACAATAAAGCAAGATATATATTGGACTTGACTGTTAGTGTCAAGTCCATCTAGGTCTACTGTGGAAGTGTTCATGCACACAACTGTGTGTGGGACACAGCACTATCCTCTGGTGCATGACACCAACAGCACATGGCATCACCACAGATTCTATGGGGCATGCCAGTAGTCAAACCCCTTAGAACACATTTATGTAGTAACAATACAGAAGTCTGAATGAGAAGTGTTGCAAACTGCAATCTAAAACAGAAAAAATAGTCCTCTCCTGGCTTGAACCAGCACCGGATTAGTTATTTTGGAAGCCAACCTTATTAATAAAGAGTTCTGACCACTGTGTTGCAATATTTCAGAGAGAATTTGAATTCTAATTGTTTGTAGGCCTCAGGGGATTTGTCACAC